AATATCAAACACCAAATACTGACTGAAATCGAAAATATTATTGCCTTTTAAAATATGCATGAGACGATTTTATTGGTCACATTATTGGCTCAATTTTCAATAATGTATTTTCCACCAACAGCAGCTATAATTTATTTTTTAGTTAGCAAATATCATCAGTTTATAACAATATGAGTTTTGTTGTTATCGGTGTGGCGTAAAGAATTAGGTTTACGACGAATGTTATGTTATATAAGAGTAGATTCATCATTTTTTACAAATTTACATTTTTGAATGACTGCTTCAATAATCTTTGCTATTGTCTGGTATATGTATTTATTCAATTCAACAGCAAAGTGTAAAACGTACATAAATGCGTTTCCTTTCTGGCGGTACTTAGGTATAAAATATGATGTCATATTATGTGGATAATGAACTGCATTCAAATTTGAAAAGGGTTTTGGGAGTCTCTTTTAAAGTTTTTTTTCAAAAGTAAAAAATGTTGGAAAAACATAATAATTGGACGTTATTATTGTTCTAATAAATTGCTGATTCTTTCGGGAGTAGGTATGTATTTTTAGGATTTTTGTTTTCCTAAACATTTTAGATTCTGAGTGGAGCGAAGAAGCTTGTGGTTTCACAAAGGAGTTTATTATTTTTTTAAACATTAGGCTGATTAGTCTATAGTTTATAAAATTGGAACGACGATAAATTTTAAAACTGGGAAAATTGGTACAACATTAAACAAATATTATTAAAGAAAATATATAGAGCCTATTTAATTATTTTACAATAATATGACATACATATTGTTGACAAAGCATCACTATCAATTGAACTCCACTCAGAATCGTATTTCGTTAGCAATGGTTTATCGTTGCTTACCGATGTACATTAAATTCCCGTCTGTATCCTACCTTCTCAACTTCTTACCTATGCCAGTGGCTATACTCGTCCCTATTATCTTATCTTTCGTTTTAATAGTAATCGTGGAAAACCGGGGGAAAAAAGTAGAAAGAACGGGAAGATTATGAACGAAAATAATGTTTGTATTATTTTTAATTTTGTTTACTAAATTCGAAACGGGAACATGAGTAAAATAGTCGGGAAGGGTCTGCGTTTTCTATTTATACGAAAACGAGTCGTGAAATAGGTAGGGGAAAAAGTTTTTAAAATGTGAAACGACGTTCTCGATTTGAAATATTTAGTAACCATTGGTTTCAACTTAATTCCGGAATTCTATACTCTAAAATGTTACAGTCCGTGTTTTTATGTTGCCAATTATTGCGATCTGGAAAATTATCATCCGGAATAATACGTTATGGACTTATTATATTCCAGATTTTCGTTCTATGAATTAACATTACGAAATATTACTTTCCGAAGTTTTACATTCCAGATTTTAAATTCCGGGTTTTTATCAGTCCGGATAATTACATTCCGGAGAATTTTGGACTCCCTATCCTAACCTAACCTGACCTCCCATAAATTTTCGTTGTATGTCTTGTGTTTGTTTATAGATACATATAATAATATATTATACGAAGATTCACAAAGCATAAATAAATATTATATTGTGGTGTTGTGTTACCGTCATAAAATTATAATAATGAATGGTTATTGTATTATTATGATCATTACAAGTAGGGTCCTACCTACTAGACTTCTTAAATGTTTTATAGTATTAAATTTAGTTGATGGAATATCATACAAATAAATAATAATATATCTATATAAAATATTTTTAAATTTATTATAATGGAAACAATAACTACGATTAAAATATTATGTTGTAAGTACTTATATTTGACACAATAATATAAACTGTTAATAATTTTATAATATACATTACCTATACAGTATACAGTAAAATAAATAGATTCTATTAGAGTCTTTCGTGGTACTATACATTGAATATTGATGAAGTAAAGTACCTACCTATCAGAAAAATCGACTAATAAAAGGGCTTGCGTATTGAATAATAAAATATATAGAAAAATTGCTTGTTAGAGACACTTTTGTCACTTAAAATATTTATACCATTAAAAAAATACTTGTATAATGACAATATTATATAACTATATTGCAAACAAAGTACTCACTGTCAAAAATATATTATATATAATTATACTTTAATCAATAACGTTAATATATTATTATAATATTTCGTTTTTGTTTTAAACATATTATGAACACTTTTCTTGCAAGATATTATTATTATTTTTTGACATTATAGATTTATAAAATAAAACAACGAATAAATTAAAAATATAGTTAATGAAAACAGTATATAATAACCTCTCAAAGATATGAATCACAGTTTTGGTAGGTAATCAAATGTATAGTTTTTTAAAAAAAGATATAATGGGCTAAGCTCAGAACTTTTATTATTTTAGTAAAGTACTAAAAAATATTTAAAACATATATTATATCATAGTATATTATTTTATAATACTCTTTAGACGTGACAAACAAAAATTAGTAGTATATTTTTCAATTAATATTCAAGTAAGTAATGAACTAACAGAATTTGTAAAAATAAATCATAAACTATATTTTCATGGATTTTCAATTATTATTAACATCTTCGAATGTATAAAATATCAACTTCTTATTCCATTACGTAAATTTAATTAACTGACAAATTAACATCAGTTTTAATAAGTTAAATTAAATTACGTATTTACGTATTACGAGTATTTGTATAAAATGGTTTCAAAGTTTCAGTGTGATAACTATATTATATCTAATGTAGTATACTTTTCGCATAAATGTAATGTTTTAAATTAATTTATTTTATTATTATTATTTTTATTAATTTTAATTTATAATAATCTAAAATTAAGACTGAATTTGTTTGAATGTTCAAAATATAAGTGTGTATCTCAAAACCAAGTTTTCGCGGACAATTTTGCATACAACTGAGTGGGAAATAGTTAAAACGTACAAATAATACTGAAATTTTGAAAATGATTTAAGTAAATATGTAAAGCTTTTTGATAATGAACTGGGAAAGCAATAAGAAAATAACACTATTTTCTTTTATTGTGTAAACCTTTTAGCAAGAAAATATTGAAAACGATAAAACGTCTATATTTTGAAGTAGGTAGTTAAATTTAAATTTTCACTATTTGCAAGTTTATATACAATATTATAGTGTTCCGTTTTTATTATAAAAATTATTTTCTTATACAAATCTGAGTAAGTGGGTAATATAAATACATTACTTTATTTAAATTACATTTTGATTACTTATTTGTATGGTTGCAGCTCACTTAGTCCACAAGATTTATATTTTTTATATTAATATTAAACACTCTTAGATCGTTAATTTCCATTAAGCAACTTTAGGGTACCGATTAAATGGCTATACTTATATATATATATATATTAATGTACATATAATAAGGGTAATTTAGACATGAAAATTCATGTTGGCCCGATGAATCACTCTTTTTTTCTTTACACAGTACATTTTTTTTTTAAATATGATTTTTGGAAATTATAATTGTGTATTTTAAAAGTACATAAAGAGAGAAAATTGTCTACCAGAATACTCACGCTAAAAGACTTATATAAATAAAATATATTCCAGACGTGTATGAGGACATCAAAACTAATCGTTAAATTATAATTGGTAGTTATTCAGAGAATCATATTACTTTTATTGTTTATTTACTCATATACTCATACAAATAATTAATTATATAAAAAAAATGTTTCTCTTCAATCAAAATATGTAATCTACACACAAACATATATTGAAAAAGTTGATCCACCATTCAGTCTAAGTGGTCCTCGATTACGTTGGTATTTTTAAAAATAATTTCCATTGATATACTTAGTGTAGGTATAGGATCAAATTAATTTTTCTTTACGAAAAACCAAGCATACGACGAATTTGTTCTGTAGAATTGTGCGCTTAACTCGAAAACAAAAATGATTATTCTATAAAACTTCATTGAAATTTGAACTTGAAGTAAAATACATGCCGTGCATTACAATATACAATAATAAACGTATAAAAACAAACTTATTTTTATGTTTTTATTAAAAGTAAATATATAGGTACCTTATAAATGAGTAAAATTGAAATTTGCAAAATTAGGATATAGGTAATTGCACATCTTTGGCTTTTTCGAGTTTAATAGAAATAGACTAAATATTGTCATTTTGTGTTTGATTAATTTTCCACTATTTATTAAATTATAAACATCTACTTAATATTAAAAGCAGACCATTAGGTCTAGAAAAAAAACAAAACCAATATCAAATTTAATACAAATTTGTGATTATACAAGTAGGTATATACCTACTAACAACGATATTTTAAATTATTTTCATTTTTATTATCAAGCCGTATGGTACGAAAATGTGATTGAAAGATTGAAGTGGCGAATCCTAAACTAAATAAAAACTATGATATGTTTATTTCTTAGATTCTAAATAGAATGAGGAATGTATCGGGTTTTTTGTTTTATTTTGCAACAAATACACCACGCTCGTAAAATATAATATGAAACATAATAACATCATAAACACAGCGGTATATATTTATATATTATCATTACTGTTGTGGGACACTTTCTCGTTATCGCATGAATCACCGACAAAATGTCACCGTTAAAATATATAGCAATGACAAAAATATATGTATAGCCCGTAAAATATTAAGTTGCAATAATATTATTACCCCCGATAGTATAAAATATATAAGTAATCCAATTACTTACACATAGGTATAGTTAAATTTTGAAAAATGTTATAATATAGAAGCATATCGACTTTACTTATTTAAAATTCTAAATTTTAATACTTACGCATGAAATATACAAATAACATAATAAAAATAAAACAAATTTAAAAGTATTTAAATGCCCTTTGACCCAAAAAATGTAAAAATATAAAAATATAAAAATAATCAAAAAACAAAAGTTACACATTTACGGGGTCTAACCAATAAGTAATGATACTAATTCAATAAAATATGTTATATTTAAATATTAAGATACATCGATGAGATCCCCTTCAAAGTACTCCCCTCCCACCCCTATACACTGGTTCCAACGTTTTTTCCAGCTCTCATAACATTTCTGGAAGGCTTCGACTGGAATGTCCTGAAGTACCCTCGTCACGGCGTTCTGGATGTCAGTTATGGACTCAAAATGCGTTTCTTTCACGGCCAATTTTGTTTGAGGGAACAAAAAGAAGTCGCAGGGTGACATATCCGGCGAATAGGGCGCTTGTGGCAACACTGCAATGTTCTTAGAGGTCAAAAATCGCGACACGCTGAAGGCACGATGGCATGGAGCATTGTCATGATGAAGGTACCATCTTTGCACACAGCTTTTTCATGGACAAATCATCAGTTAACATTTTTCTGACGGTTTCTCGTTTCAAATTAAGTTCATCAGCCAACATTCGCACGGTTAAACGCCGATCTTGATGCACGAGAGTGCGCACACGCTGAACATTGTTGTCAGTTCGAGCTTCAACCGGTCTCCCAATTCGCGGTTCATCCCCGACGCTTTCACGACCATTTTTAAAATTTTTATGCCATCGAAACACCTGAGCACGACTCAGGGCTTCATCACCGAACACTTTCACCAATTTATCGTACGTTTCCATAACGGAATCACCGAGTTTAACGCAAAATTTATATTACGTTGTTCCATATTTGTGACACGCCTTACAAACACGTTGTCGAAAACATAACACAACTGGAAAACTAATTATTGTATGAAAATCGCGAGCACGTGTATCGATAGAGGAGAGATGAGAGATTAACCGAACGAAGTTTCAGATTCGCAGTGTTACCACAAGCGTAGCAAAAAAAACAGTCTCATTACTTATTGGTCAGACCTTGTAAAGTATCCACTACACGAATCGGAGTCTGTGCTTAACCTATAAAACAGCCAATCCCTTCCCTGAGTATCTACAGAATGATTCCCTAAGCGTGCTCACTCTATTTTTTTGGTTAAATTTTGCATTTATTCAAATTCTGATTTTTGGATTTTTTAAGTGGTTAAAGCCGATATTTATAAGTATAAATACTTAGATTTTTTACAGCATTTAAGAAATATTCTGTGGTAATACCAACCAAATGAAAACTTAAATTAAAAATGCCACAAATAGATGGAGTATTTCTTTATATAAATTAAACCTAATTGTCTATTTCTCGATAAAAATCCATACACCTAATGTATAAAATATGCATACGATCATTAATAAAATTACTATGAAACTGGTATTCTACATTAGAAATTTAACACCAATCGAATTTTATACTACCAGTGTCGGTCTGATTTATGATTAAGGCCCCTGGCACAATAATATTCAATGGACAAAAACATGTTTTATTTTTTGACATTTCTGTAAACATAAGCCTGGTTATTTTATTTTACTTTTACAATAAATAACTTCTTTTAGACAACCGATAAAAATTGTATTCATTATAATATAACATATACCTAAATATACAACCTTTATAAAATATAATTTTTTTGAAAATTGTTTTGGTACGAAATATAAATATAAATTTTTTAATGATTAAATAGGTACAAATTAAAATGAATAATAATATTAAAATTATTATGAAATTAGACAAAATATTTATATATTAATATAATTTGTAAAACATGAAAACAAATTTCAATTTGATACCAATACATAATAATATATATATAACTGACTGAATATTATGTATATAAACTGACAAAGAAAATTGTTTTTTGATATCAAAGTATTTTTCATAATAGTTGGAAAAACCAACAAATACAATTTTTTTTCAAATTATGGTGCAGCAATTATACATAACCTAATTAAAAATTGTACGTCTCATGTTTTCTACCATAAATATTGCTCTAATAGAAAAACCACAAAAGATCTTTTTGTTGTATTTTGAAATAGTTTGTAAGTAAGTAATTCGTTTATTGATTTTCTTAATATTTTTTGTAATGATTGAGCAAAACCGAAAAAATACGTTTAAAAAACAAGGCAATTTACGAAAATTATTATACTTTGTTAAAATTTGTTGTTTTAAATATAATTCAATTAAAAATATTCGTAAAAACTTAAAATTCAGACACAAAAACTTATATTTGCCTTTTTTTTAAATTTTTAAACTATTTTAGCCATTTTTGAGCTATTTAATAGTCATTTTCAGTTTGCAAGTTCTGTAGGATTTTTTATTCGGTACGTACTCTGTGGTAAAATTGTTAAATTAAACAGGAATGCTTGAAAATTTAATAGGAGGTTCATTTAAAGTCGTAATTCGTGATCAAAAAAAAAAAAATTAAGCTAAATATAGTATTTGTTTTTATAAAGGAATTTTAACAACAGATTTTGAGGAAAATTGTGTGGAACAAATCTAATTTTTCAAGTTTTTTTTTTGAACATATGTGTATTGCCAATTTAAGAAAGATGGTGAAATCAGAATTGAGCGGACTGACTTCACGGGAATCACATAAAAATTAATAATACCTATATAATATTGTTTCCACTATAGTAATATGATTACATTATACTCCAGGGCATTGTAGCACACGAGAACTGTAAGAGAATCCGTTAGCAAACGCTTCGTTTATAATGGTTTTTCATTAAATTTGACATTAGTGATAAAACTATCATTGGGAAAAAGAAAATATAAAAATAAACATACTAATATACGCATATTATACAACAACGATTCGGTTTTCCAATTTAGAGTTCTTTTCGATAGTTAAACATATGTTATGCATAATCCGCACACCAAGGGGATTGTTATGCTATTACTTATGTGTGAGTTTTACATGAATATAGATACTGTATTTAGCAAAACTGTGTGGTTATTCGAAATGTCTAACTATAATTTTACTAAAGCAATATTATACAATACTAGCTGAATTACCCGGCGTTGCCCGGAAACAAATTCGTGACAAATTAGACAACGCCATGTATTACCATTTATCGTCTTAAATTCATAATTATCGATAATATATATATTAACCTAATAAAACAGGAGTATTGGTGTACGCGCGATGCATGAGATTATTTTTATCGATAAACTTTTCGGAACAATTATTCTCATCTACACGACGACGAACAAAAAGGATAGGTTGCAGGTAGCTGGAGACCCGCGGGCCGCCGTGCCGCACAATACTTATGTGCGGTGAACAATTATAATTGTTAATTACTCCACTAAAACGCAACATTTTTGAAAATCCCTCCTTGGTGCACGGTGAAAATATGAGAAGAACCTATATTCCAAATTTCAAGTCCGCACGTTACGTAGTTTTTGAGATACAGCGATCAGTCAGTCAGCGGTATTTGGATTTTATATGTATAGAAGATTATCTTATCTGTCTATAAATAAAACGAATAGCCCGATAATCAATCTAATCGGTAGCTCTCGAGACGTGTGTCTAGGAAAAACATGCGTCTGGGAAAAGTTAACAACCATATTCATATTATGATTAAAATTGAAAATAATTTTAAAATTCAAAGTTCTATGGTTTTTTTCTGGTGTTGTTAATGGTTTTAAAGTAAGGTATTTAACAATCACCCTCTACCCCTTGAAATTGTTTCATATGTTTGTAGATTCGCTTTGATATTGTCTTCTACATTATTATTTTGAAAACGCGTACTTCATTTCTAAAAACTAAATTTAAAAGAAAAAAACCGGGCGATTTTTCTGTGTTTTTTTTTTTTTTTTTGGTGCGACGAAGTATGACCGTGGCGGTCATACTTTCCTTGAAATATGTTTGAAAATTGTCAACAGTTCACCTCTCAGGTTGCTTTTATTTCTCAGAAAACAATTGGTCGGATAGTAAAAAAAAAACGTTCCGAATTATTCACCGCACCCTGAAAAAATGCTGATTTTTCCGGACCAAGTTTTTCTTCGTAATTATTTATATCTGTATCTGTATGTATATATTATACTTCATATATTCATTATAATAAACCGATAATAAGTAAACATTGTACGTATTCTCTAAAACCGTTTTTCTTCCTCGTTTTTGCAATAATATAATAATAACAACAATAATAATAATAATAATAATAAAAATGTAATTATTATTATTATTTTCGTTTATTTATCGACACGATCCCAGGTGATGTACGTCGAAAAAGAGTTAGTGAAAAAAATATATATATATATATAATTATATAATAGGAGGCGCACGCACGGTTATTGTGATTCGCATTGATCGGTCGGCGGCGGCAGCGGTGGCGGCGGCGGGATACTCGTAAAAAGACCGCCGCCGTCGGGGTCGTCGTGGGCATGCGCCTCCGATTGCACCGTCGCCGCCGTCAAAACGCACTGCACTCGCGCGTCCTACCGGTAGTGTTCGTTGGAAATAGCGTAGGCGCGCAACTGTTGATATTTGTGAATAGCGTGAAACATTTTTTTTTTTTTTTTTTTGCCCGTGTGTCGTCTTAATAAATATTGTTTTTGCCGTCACACCGCAGACAAAAGCTTCCTCCGACGTCCGCCGCGAAACGAGAGCAAAGAACAGAAAGGAAAAACATTGTACAGAGGCGGAAAAAAATACACCACCATTCCGAGTGCCATTGTACGCGATATCTCGAAGAGCGAATATTGGGGGAAAAACAACGCACGTATAGTCTGTCCGTGTCTATCCGATCGTGCGAAAAATGTCATTCTTTCAGGAGGAAAACGACGAGTAAGTCTGCACACATTTGACGATTTTTAATACGATAACTAAGGTTAATATTATATATTTTATACGAGTAGATGTACCTTTAGTTTTTATTTTGAATAAAAGTCGCGAACGCATAACGATATTATTATTCTTACGAGCAGGTATCGTTTTCATTCTAATGCGGCGTCTGCAACAACGGCTCTTGTTTCTAACCGACGAACACACAGAAAACTGTATTATACACTGTATTATTGTGTCCCGACATTGTTATGCACGACAACAATATGATATAGGGTGATGTTTTTTTTTTTTAAATGTGTTCGTATACATTTACAATAAACTCGCAGCGATGATCTATATAGTATCTATATAGCCATATAGGAAGGCACGAAGAACACGAGTAAATTTGATTTTTTTCAGACGGGTATAGGTAAGTACATATTATATAAAAAAAAAAAAATTATTCTTCGATCTGAATCTCTTAATCTGAGTATACGTACCTATATAAGTGGGTACTTATATGAAGTGGGTTGGTATTTCGTCAAAAATCAATAGTTATGTATCGATGTTACATAAATATTATTTTATATTAAATAGTAGATAATTATTATAATATGTGCAATGATTAATGAGGGAACCGTTTTGTAAGTAATGCAGTTAATAAGATAATTTTAAACGATCTATTATTGTAATGACTTGAAAAAACCAAAATTTGCATTTTATACTCGAAATCTACGTGTGTAGATATATAATCGGTGGTCCTTGGTTAATGTATCACCCTGTATATAATGTCCAACACCCCACTGCATAAAAGCGCCGATCATCCGGTCATTGACACGCGCGTGCCTCCCATCGTATGCACCGAGCTCGATTTTCGCCCGTTTTGTGTTCGTTGGTCTCCGATTTTTCGTTGAGAATATTTTTACTAATCCACCACCCGAATAACGAAAGAAGACGGATATATTTCGCTCGATAGGGTGGGCGACTGTAGTAGGTAAGAATTTGGGAAGGTAGGATATAGAGGAGAATTTAAAGTATTTTTTACGCAACAATTAATCATATTACCAACGAAAAACGATTCTGAGTCGAGTTCGGTTATACGTGTTCTTAAACGTCGTAATTTTTACGATTTTCGTCAGAATTTGCTTTAAATATTTGTATAAAAAAAATTGTACATTAGGTTACACTCAACTTTTTGTGACCGCAAAGTACGACACAAAATAAAATCTACTGTTAAATTTTCAAGAAAAAGAAACACTAAAATTTGGGTATCTGCCATAGGAGAAAAAACACTAGGGAAAGGTCAGACAACTTTTTCAATTTCGTGTTTTTACATATTATGTTATTACAATTAATATTCACTGTGAAAAACCTCAGAGAGATCTGAAATCTCAAAGTAAAAATACTTTGTGTATATATTCGTAACAAGTACAGTGCACGACAAAAAGGTAAGGTACATTTTATCAAATATAATTGTATACATATGGTATGGAACTAATTATTATTAAAACAAATATAATTTATAGATTCTATATGCTGGCAAACTTCAGGTTATACCGAAATGATTTCAATTTTATCTTATTTTCTTGATTATAAACTTATAAATAAAAATTTATTGATGAATTTATTAGGTTTTGTTGTGACATAATCATAAAGGTAGCCAGTTTCGTTGGGTATTTAGGGATTGTATGATCAAGTTAACTTATGTAATACTTCTACTATACTTTATACAACCTAAAATTATATACTGTATTAACATAATTTGCATAGCATTGTTATTAATTATTAAATAATTTACCATGGGAAGAGCAAAGCCATTATCAAATGAAGAACGAGGAAAAATTACGGCATTTAAGGAATGCGGTCTTTCAAATCGTGAAATAGCGCGTAGACTAGAGGAGTTCAACGGTTATATATAATTTTGTAAAACTTGGCCAAAATTACAATTCCAAGAAGTCTACATGTCGACCGCGCAATTATTAACTGATCGTGAAAAAAGAGCAATTTTAAGAGTTGCATCGAATTCTGTTTTGTCTGCACGTGGTATTCTCAATCAATATGGTGTGAAAATTGGTATTCGTAATATACAAAGACAATTAAAATGCACGCCAACACTCATTCGAAAAAAAACTATTTCTAAAACCACCATTAAACGGACGTAATAAAAATGCTAGATTGAACTTTTAAAGAAACAAAATTAATTGGTCAAAAAAATGGAGCAAAGTAATTTTTTCAGGTGAATAAAAATTTAATTTGGATGGACCTGATGGATTTTCGTATTACTACGATTTAAGAATAGATGAACGTATAATGTCACGACGTCAAATGGGAGGAGGATCTGTAATGATTTGGTGTGCAATTAGTTATAAAGAAAGAAGTGAAGTTGTTTTTTAGATGGTAGAATAAATGTTTTGAAGTATAGAGATCTCCTTAACACCCAAAAGTCATGTTTTCGGTAAATAGCAGGAAGAAATTTTATATTTCATCAGTATAATGCGCCAATCCATACTGCTCGAATCATAAAATTATGGTTTGAAACAAATTTTTTATCAATACTAGATTGGCCTGCACGATTTCCTGATCTAAATATTATTGAAAATGTTTGGGGACTACACGCCAAAGAAATTAGAAGTTTATAAAGATGCTAAACAATATTTTTCAGTTGGTGGGTTGAAACAATCTATTGTAGATGCTTGGGCACTAATTTCCCAAGATGTTATAAAAAAGCTTTATGACACAATTCCGAATTTTTGTCACTATTCGTGATAATGGAGGTTTCACTAAATATTAATATATTAAAACTATGTTTATAAACATTAATACATATAATATATGTTGTAATATCGAATAGTTTGTTTATATATTTGTTGGTATATATTTACCTTTATAATTTTGTCGCGAAAATTGTCTATTAAAATTATTTTATTATTATTATTATTATTATTATAGTTTTAGAAAATTATAAAATGTATAATAAAATTAAAATAATATATGAGATAAAGTATTCATTTAAATGTATGCATAATTTGTATAGAATTGTGTGGTATATAGTATATTATAAATAAATATATTCAGGTGCCTTTATCTTTTTGTCGTGCACTGTAACAATGAAGAACATAACCCGTTCACCATTGGCGTGTTGAATTACACATTTATTATTGTCGAGTTGATTATTATTTTACGGTAGACTTAAATAATCCTTTTGACTTTTGGCAATATTGTTTTAATTAACTTTGTGCTCATTATATTCTTGAAATTTCTACGTATCTCCGCGGCGGCGGTCCCCTTCTTTATAGTCAGTAAATAATACACTTATTATAAAAGAAACTTATTCGTACTTTTTTGGCAAATGAAAAGTTGTATCACAATATTTTTGTAACTTAAGACTATAATATATATGTACAGGAATTGTTATACATCAGTCACTTACTCGAACAATAATTATAGTAGGAGTACAATTTAAATGATGGTAGGTAATAGATATACAATACGCGAATATTTTTAAAATTTTTATTTTTATATATATATATCCCATTGAAAAAATCCCGATAATCTTGACAGCAACGGCAGCACAATAAAAATAATCTCGAAAATAAAAAGTCAAGATGTTAAGATAAATATGCATAATATGTATAATATATAGATTATTGGTAATACTATATAATAATTTAGCAGAAATTATTGCAAATTTAACAGGAGGTTCATTATTAGTAGTACTTAGTAGTTAATGAGAAACAGTTGAAATTAGGAGAGTATTTTTTTTTATACGAATTTTAATATCAAATTTTAACGAAAATCGTAAATATAAGACCTTTTAAAACATATTTAACCGAACTCCACTCAGAATTGTTTTTCGTTAGCAATGATTAATCGTTGTGTTCATTAAATTTCCCTTCTACCTTCCCAACTCCTCACATACAACAGTGGCACACCTATCGTGCAAAGTATGTCTGGTTTTTTAAATATATTTGTTTGAAAAAATTTGTTTAAACAATAAAAATTAAAAACAAGCTAATATTACTCAATTTTTTTTAAATTTTGACACATTATTAAATTCTATATGCAACAATTTTTTCATTTTTTATTGTACATAGTCAATGTCACTTTAATATTGCACGTGTCATAAACACATTTTTTAATACTCTTACATATTATTATGTACCTATTTGGTTTCTTTTTAAATGTGTATAAATTCAATATAGCGGTCATTTGGAAGAATTGCACTTCTGTTAACGGTCACCTCCACAAGATAAATAACTACCTATAACTATTTTTAAAAAACGATCATTATTTCCGGTCCGTTCGATGACCATTATGAAGAAGTTTTACTGCATATATAATTCGGTGGCGAGTCAATGTATATATTTACGTAGGAACTTCTAAAAATTTGTATAAATATTTTTCGTAAAGGAATACTCCACCCAGGCATGTATTCAGGATCAATTTTCGGGGGGTGGAGGGTTAAAATATTTTAATACATGAAGGGTACAGAAAAAAAACCAAAAAAGTCAATTTTTTTCAAACTGAGAAAAACGTGTTCTTATTTAAAAATGTAACATTTTTTTTTACGAAGTAATAAGTTTGAATTAAGTTTAATGTTAACTTTAAATTGCAGTACCCACAACATAATAATACCATATTATATTATTAACCAAAGCTATAGCCGTGTATTAACCCAACACTTACCTGGTTATAAATTAACTGTCTGTTTTTTTTTCCTGTAGGCCTAAACTTCTGGCATTACTTTCGACTTATCTGGATTTGTCGCCGTTTCGATCGTATAAAAAATACGGCACATCAATACAAATTATTTGATACCGATATCGCCATTTTGAAAAAAAAATGACTTTTCTGGTTTTTTCTCAGTACCCTTCACATGAACTTGTAGTTAGTCTTTATTATATTATAAATATATACCTACTTTAAAATTTTGGGGGTGGGGGTTTAACCCATCCATGTATATGGACTTAACTCCGATCCTAGAACGTTGTATATTTCAATGGTACAAAACGAATGAATATACACGTGATTATCAATAAACCCGTAAAGGTATTTTTTTCCACTAATACGTTTAATATAATGACATCACACTTACACATAAATGCCAAACCATCATTATAGTCTTCAAAACGTCACTGCAGCGCAGTCCATGAATGAATGCAATTTGTTAGGATATTGTTTATATTTTTCAATATGACATATACAATAATATATTATTTTCTCAAAACGATTTACCATTTTGCTATAATACGTACATGAAGCCACTAAGTGTATTTTTATATTTGTGAGTCAATTTGTAAATTTCAAAAATAATACGAATACAAAAAGAGTTTATACTGCTAATAGGTGTGTCACTGTTATAGGTGAAAAGTTGGGAAGGTAGAATAATTAAATTTATTTAACTTATATCTATACGCACTACACAACAATAAATCATTGTTGACGAAATAAAATTCAGAGGGAAATTCTGTTAAACATATATAGAGAAAAGCTGTAATTTTTACAATTTTGGTAAATATTTGAACTTTAAAACGCTTATAAAAAAAAATACTACACTAGCATTTTTTTTCGACAATTCAGTATAAATTATAACAAAACTCGTGTTGAACTTTCAAGCATTTCTTTTTAGCCGAACGATTTTATCCACATATAAAACTAAATATCAAATGTCAAAAAAAAAGATTCTTTGAAAATTTTAGGTCAAAACGATTATTTTTAACTATATTGTAATAAAAAAACAAAATCGAAAACAATCGTTTATGAAATCATTAATGTCAAGCTCCTTGTTGCGCTAAGACTCTAATAAAATAAAATAATACGATAATTGCTCACAAGCTCAGTTAAATTTTTACTTAAGGAGCCCGGTGTTAAGCCTTTTCATGGCTCAAGAACATGCCTTTCGGGAAAACTTTCATCCATGAAGAATGGTCGATTTTTGATGATTATTTTTGTATTGAAAGAAGGTCTCATTGAATATGTTTTTCAATATTTTCATTTTAAACTTTATAATATACTTGTTTAAAAAGGTCAATTTTAAATTTTATTTACCAAATTTTTAATACCATTATTTTAAATCAAATAATAAATCGGAGTTCAATGTGGTCTGATAAATGCTGTTGTCCATAGATTAACAAAAAATCAAAAAATGGTAGGAAATAATTATATTATGCTGACAATGAATTATCCCTATTATCGCAATTATTTTCGTCTATAAAAACGACCGTGCGCCTTTCCCCTAAATGGGTTTCAGGCAGTAGATTAGTGCCTAGTAGAAAAGTCTTTAGTTGATCGTCATTAAAATTTCAAAATTTTACAAAATGGGAGAAAATTTAAAAAATCGGCACTAGGTTCTCTTAACCGTTAATGAGGTACCTGTAAACAAATACGATTTTGTATAGAATTTCTTATAGTAAAATAACATTTGATTAATCAAATAAAATATGGATTTTAATAATTTTTGAAAAAGGGTTTAGTATTAATTAATCAATTTATTGATTAATTTATTGGTATATGCTTTAATATAACAAATTGAAAACGTTTAATTTATACTTTTATTATACTTGTAGTTAACCTATGTTACGAATAAAGTATGTACGGGTTATATGAGAATCCAATAATAACATATTATTATTGTTATTATTATTTACGACCATAATATTATTTCAGTTTTATTAAAGTTTATCTCTGTTCAATTTGTATAAGTAGGTAAACATTTCGAATTTTAAAAATTCGAATTATACTACCAATACTTTAAATTTATACTAAATCTACATCACCGACTCAAATAATATTATCATCAATTATTGATAATTAATTAATACATATGTCGATAAAATTTGTATTAACTAGGTTTATTAACATTTACCTGATTAGTAAGTATGTTTATTTATTTATTAAAATATGGCTAATGGTGTTGGATCGGTTAAAGTTAAGATTAAGTTAAACATAATATACGAATTCTACGCATAAATATAACAATAGCAGAAAGATAACTATTATAAATTGATATTATATTTTGGTGAGATTCAAATATTTGTTTTTAAAGTACCTTTTATAATAAATATAGATACGAGAAGAAGCTTACGTTTTAGTTTGTATAATATTAAGACGGTTTATTTATTTATTTTTTGTTTTGTGTCTATGAGTATATTATTAAAAAGTAATCCAAATGTGTCTATAATTTATGAAAATTAAAAATTAAAAATTTAAGGTAGATTGTATTTTTTCGAGGAGGTCAATCTAAAAAAAAATCAGTAATTAATATTATATTTATAAAAAAAATCAATAGTCGTCATTATTCGTGTTTTCAGTAAATCTGTCATAAAATTTCGGTAAAGTAAAAAAGAGCTGATACTAGGGACGGGTGTAGCCACTGCTGTAGGTGGGAAGTCAGAAAAGTAGGATACATAAAGTTATTAAATTTATACCTATACGCTATGATAAACTATTGCTAACGAACGATTGGGAGCGAAGTTCGTTTAGGGTTATATGTACATGTTTTAAAAGTCCGTAAGATTTACGATTTTCGTCTAGATTTGTTTTTAAAACTCTAATAAAAAAAAAAGAAATTCTACATTACACTATTTTTTTTGACCAATAAGTACAGCTTGTAATGAAAATCTTAAAAAAATGTTCAAGCACATCTATCTAGTTTAAACATTTTATCCACAGAGTATCTACCAAATAAAAATTATATAAAATCTAGCAAAATAAAAATATCTATAAATAGCTCAAAAACAGCTTAAATGATTTGAAAATTTTACCACGTCTAGATAAAGCAAATGTAAATTTTCTGTCAAAATTTAAAATCTCTACAAATATTTTAACTTGATTACAACAAAAAAACCAAGTTTAAATAATAAAAAAATTATTTTTGTTAATTTTCCGATTCTTTCCATGTTTTCTCCGGGTTTTCCCAATTATTATAAAAACTAATTGAAATTTTAAAAAAAATCTACTTTCGTCGTGTGCATTTATATTCAAATTTCAACATTAAAGGTCTCTGAGAATTTTTTGAGTAAAATAATATTTCTGGTAGAAAACATCGTTTTCAAAAATTAAAAACAATGAAATCGATAACGCCGCAACGCGGCCTACCGTAAATATCTACCGTATTTCCTAATAATTTTCTATCCGGTTTTTCCCAATTATTTTGAAAACCCTGTGAAAAATCAAAAGTTGACCACTTTAAATGCACTAACTAGATAAAATTTCTTTTCAAAAAAAGTGTTACACTATACACCGGTACAAGATATTTTTTCGAAAAATTATTTACAGACAGAAAATAATAAAATGAGCACACATATTAGTAAAACCAATTGATTCCTCCTTCCGCTCAGAATCTAAAAAGCTTCCAAGTGTTTACATCCAGTAGCGTATTATTAGTGTATGTCTCGATGAATATATATTATTGCTAGTCCATTTAGCCTCGTCTACATAATAGTAAAATTAAAATTAAAAGTTCTATACTATTTAATTCCAGAATAATTGAAAGATTACTCCATTATATTATAAATGTTAAATTCAAAAATTCTAAAAACAAACTAGAGTCGACTGTCGAGAGAGCATGCGTCTGTCAGTACCAAATCAACAACAAAAATAATCAAAATTAAGTAGTGACAAACTGATAAACGAAAATTATTAAAGCTAATAACTAGTTTTGTTTAAATTTCAAACTGGCAAGTGGCCACCATACGCCAGTGTATAAATAATTTGATAACATTTTTTTTTTTCGTGATTACTTAAAAAAATATTAATATGGTAATACCTAATTATATTAGCACAGAATATAGAGATAAGTATATTAGATATTTAGATATTAATGGGGAAGGGGAATCCAGACCCCATTGACTCCTCTCATAAATATTAGTATAATAATACCACCATACCAGGTGATCCATTTTAAGTGGGTGCACTCTCGGAAAGTATTAACTTTTCCGGAATTGGTTTTCTAGAACATTTAAGAAACAATAGCTACACCACATTTGTATATTTATGTTATTTTTTGTCACCTTTATTTTTGGAGTTAAAACCACTTCTTATTTTTATTATTTATATCGGAACCTATATTAAAAAGTCCATAAATATATGGAGTGTTAGTTAAAATAAATTTGATATGAATATACATAGACTAATTAATTATTTTACTATAATATGGCATATTATGTTGGCGAAGCATCACTATCAACTGAACTCCGCTCAGAATCGTTTTTTCGTAAATTTAATGTATATCTGTAATACATTAAATTCCGTTTGTATCCTACCTTCTCAACTTTCCACCTACACCAGTGGCTGTACCCGTCCCCATTATCTTACCTCTATTTTTTTTTACTTTTATTATTATTATTTTTGACAAACAACAAGATCGTTACCGTTTAAAAAAAGGGCTTAAAATGAATTATATTTTTTATTATGGATGAATTAAATGTTTTGGAAACCTTTAATCTTTATAATAACATTCCTTTTCTGCCCAATTAATCTAACCCGGGTACTGCGCAGAAAGCTAGGTGATTTGTGATTTTGACTGCAATCGTTATATACCTTGGCAAATATACATCATCTTATCGTATTATGAAAAACAACATTGAGTGTGTTTATTTTTTACAGCAAAATATTTTTATATTTTCCATATAAGTTTGGCTTTGGAAAAAAAATGTTTCGTGATCTTATTTAATCAAAATCTTATATTAGAAATTACATCAATAATAAAAAAATAATAATAATAAACGTTGTGTAAGGGTTCTTGAAATTTAATTTGCAAAATTCGATTTTTATTCGAGACTGAAAACGGTCGTGTCGATAATCGCGAAAACGGTAATTTTAATGGAAAACGAAATTAGATGTTTGGTTTGGTTTGTATACAATAAAAACAATTTTTTTTCCTCCCTGTTCTCAATGAAAGACGACAGGCGTGTTGCCGTTTTTAGTTTTTATAATACTAATATTTCTACTAAGTTGACAATTGTAATTACAAATGTTATAATGGAAAATACTCTTCATTTCATCGATTACCTATATCAATAAAAATTTTTAGGCAAGGTGAAACTTGTTGTAAAGAATCAAATAAATTGTAAAATGTTGGAAATCATATTGTAGGTAATTTATAATCTATTCTTAGACTTAGTTATCGGAAAAAAAGTTCATTCTGAAATACTACCTTAATATAGTAACTATAAGATCTAATCTATCATTTAGTTAGATTTTTCAGATGACAAGTTTTATCATTACTATAATATTGAAAAAAAAATCATCATCATTAATATGTAATACAGATAAAATAATAATAATAATATAAAAGTTAAAATATTAATTACAAAGTTATGAAGAAAATGCAAGGCGAGATACCATGGTGCATGCGTTTTCACATTATTTTTTTTATAGGAAAAAATTTGAAAGAAGCTAACAATAAGTTTGAAGAATACAACGTATAAATTAAAAGAAAGTTTTACTAAACATAAGTAGAAATAAAACAGAGTATATATAATATGAGTCTGGAGGAATAGGACAAGACGACTAATGCTAATAAACGGTGATGAAATTCAATGAGTCTTAAAGATAAGTTCTACAAAAATGTGGTGAGACCAACCATGTTGTATGGTTCGGCGTATTAAACGGTAGACAGTAAAACAGAACAGAGAATGAGTGTAGCGGAAATGAGAATGTTTAGGCAGAGAAGTGAAGTGACAAGAGAAGATAGAATAAGGGATGAGTACATAAGAGATAACTTATGGCTTTAATAGTAGACAAAATAGAAGAAAACAGACTGAGATGGTTTGGACATGTCACGAGGAGAGAAAAATCAGAAGCAGTAAGAATTTTAATTAAAATATCCATTAGGGGAAAAGGTGAGTTTAAGACCGAAAAATAAATGATTGGATGCAATTGACAATGATATGAGGACGGTGGGTGCATGCGAGATTGATGTGTGGGATCGGGTCAAGTGAAAGTTTAGGACGAAGGTGGTCAACTCCAAATAATTGGAATAAAAGCGAAAAAGAAGAATTATAATATTAATATGAAAGAAACGTCCTAGAATGGGGACGAGTGCAGCCACTGATATAGGTAATTTAACGTATACCAGTAAGCAACGATAAACCATTGCTTATGAAAAAACGATTCTGAGCGGGGTTCAGTTGATAGTGATGCTTTTCAAATATATATATGTTATATTATAGTAAAATAATTAAATAGGCTTTCTATATTTTCTTCAATAATATTTGTTTAATGTTATACCGATTTTCCAAGTTTTCCTACATTTTCCCCTGTTTTCCCATTTTTTTTTCTGGTTTTTCACATTTGCCTGAATAACTCCTAGGAAAATCGAAAAATAACCATCCTTAAGAACCTCCCTAGTGAAATTTCCTTTTAGAAACATTGCTATCATTCTAAGTTGGAGAGAAATTGTTGGTAGAAAAATTGTGCACAGAAAAAAAGAAAGCCGTAATATATTTTTACTAATACCTACATTCCTTACATTTCCCCGTTTTTCTCTGTTTTTTTTTCGGTTTTTCAAATTTGATGAGAAAAAAAAATCGAAAAATTACCCAACTAAAGTACCTCCTCACACTGATTTCCTTTCAGTTAAAGTGCACACTTAAAAATCTGGGAAAGTCTTCTCGTAGAAAAGTCACGCACAGTTAAACATCTTTGTAAAACCATAAGCTTCTTCGCTCCACTCAGAATCTAAAACATAACGAGAAAAAACAAACAGACATACTTCGCATGATGGGGGGGGGTCACTGTTGTAGGTAAGAAGTTGGGAAAGTAAAGTGGAAATTTAATGTATATTTGTGCACAAAGATTAATCATTGTTAACGAAAAACGATACTGAGTGGAGTTTGGTTAGACATGTTTCGAAAGGCCGTAATATTAAAAATATCGAAAATACTTTTCTTAAATTTTCCCGTTTTTCCCTGTTTCTTCCCATTTATTACAAAAACTCCTAAGAAAATCTAAAAATGAAAGTGCTTAATGTATCACCCCAGGAAAATTTTCTTTCAGAAAAGATGCTACACTTCAAAATAGAAGCAAAATTTTCGATAAAAAAGTTGTTCAAAGATATAAAAAAAATAAAATAATAATAAACATCGTTGTAAAACTAATATAATATTATAATTCCAGTATTTTAATATTTTATTTCTTGATTATGATAGTGTTCCAAAATAGTTCAGCTAAGAAATTTACAAATTTATATTTTGTCGATTCAGTAACCGTCTGCTAATTGGAATATATAACTGTAAACTTAATAACTAAAATGTTTAAAACGCCAAAACACACCAATAATCATTTTTATTAGTTTGTTCTAATTTAAATACGTAGGCTTTGAAAAATTCTTATCTATAAAACTTTAGTTATAAACGTATTTTGAATACGATATCGATTTTATTTTTTAAAACCATCGCTATATTAATTATGTGTTGTCCAAGCCAGTCGATCAAAACTGTATTCTAAAATATATATATTATATGCGTAAGTTCAATGGAAACATAACTATACTCGATAACCTCGCACGTGTTTAATGCGTGCTTTTCTTCTGTTTTATTTATTTTGCTTATTCTCGAGATAATATAAAAATTATATGTTATTTGCTATAGGATATTAATAACGGTCAACGTGTTGATCTAAGGATACAATTCTGGTGCTTGAATCCTCGCATATTTTTTTAAGATATTGTAATATACCAGTTTTCAAAAATACATTGTTGCAGTGATGTAAAATCTTTTACACACATTTTAAATATCGCGAAACTATTGTGAGTTGATAGATGCTTTTGGAAACAAAATTGTTAGACTGGACATTTTTAAGAGAGATTATGATGAATATAAGCACTTTGTGGTCACAGGACTATAATATTATAAACATTAAACATTCTTTGTTATCGTATTATTCTAACACGTGATTTGTATTGAATATATATTTTTACGTTTAGTACTATTATTTACACTTATTTCGGTCAAATGAGTGGGGGAGAATATATATATTTCAGCGAAATTCTTATAATAGAAAATTAAACCTATATTACCACCTTTTGTATGCTACTTAAATATTATTCATGAGCTATACATTTAAGTATTGATATTTATATTATTTTCAATATAATTTTGCAGGTACGAAGATGTGAGCACAGTTTTGATTCGAAACTCACATCTAGATCTCATGGATCAAGATATATTATACCACTTGGCCTTAGGGAGCGGTTCTCACGATCTAAGAGCTATGTTCGGTGATGTTAAAGTAAAGTTATATAACATAAATTATACTACCTAAGGTTTTTTTTAAATGTAACTACCTACCTTTTATTTAACTTGTTTTTATATATTCAAGTTTGAAATTTTTAATACATTAAACCATATTGACGTTTGAATACATAATATACCTATGCCTAATACCTATGTTCATTAAGCAGAAAAATACCCTTGAGCAGCTATGACGGAGTTACTGTTCCCGAAACAAAATAGTGAAATTCATATTGAAACTCAACCGAAATTGTATCGCTTCAATATGCCTACAAAAAATCTAATTCACAGGTTTGAGCGAATTAGGTCTAGAGCGAGCCTCTAAGAGTGTTCAAAAGTTCCGGGAAAGAGATTTATCTCTTTACAGAGTATAGCAGGACTATTTTACAATTTACTAACTTTGTTTAAAACGAATACACAGTATACTCCTTAAATGTGGTGAAAAATCTAAGTTTTCAAAAATATAGGTTTTAATTACACTTAAAAATTCCAAAAATCATAATTTTAATACACGCAAAATTAAACAAAAAAAAAATGGAGTCCTCATTCCATTTTTTTTAAGCGTTCTCACGCTTAGTGAATTACCCTGTATATTATATATAACTGACGTAATACAGTGCAATAATCTCCTATTTTGGGTGGAAATTCAACAATAATTACACCGTATACAATGCAAATCTAAATTTAATCTGTTATTCAAAGTACTCTGGAAAAAACAAAAATATTTATTTTTTATTTTTTAAGAATATTAAACCTATTTCTACAAAAATACATTCCTGTGTTAGTAGGTATTAAATAGAGTAAACAACTTAAATAATGTAGTAATTTTAACTATACTTCCGGAAATTTAACCTATACATTTGAATTTACATCATTTAAAAATATTATAAATTATAATAATGCAGACGTGAAATATTATTTTATTTTCAATATTCAGTCGCGTTTTACATTTTTTTTTTTTTTATATATATACATTTTTTATTTATATATTTATTTACGAGTATTAACCATTTTAATAATTTTGTTTTCACTTTATTATTTTATGAAATATTATTATTAGATTTTTGCTAAATTAAATTTAAACCACGCACCTACTTAGTATTCTTTTCATATAGTTTGTATGTATGGGTGGTACACCGAAGCGTATGGAACAATTCGCTTATAAACTCATGGAAGAAATATCGTACAAAATACCAACGGGCACAACATTGCAAGACATCAGTAGATTTTCGTATAGATATTCGATGTATAAAGTTGGCCCCGTTCTATGTATTAGCGTGAGTATAATATAATTAATAATTTATGTATTATATATTAACTAGTATAAGTAATTTGTATTTTTGTAATAATAAATATTAATGAGGTGATTAAATACCAATTTTTTATTTCTTTGTCTAACGTATACGGTATAATCGGCACAACAATTTAGATCAACTTTTCTTTCAATCGGTTCAAATAATGTTGTAAAACACGAACAAAAGCTTCGAAAGAAGATTAAAATTCAACGTAAAGTGTAGGTATGTAGTAGGTACAAGATAAGATTGGCCGCGATACTTTTCCAAAGTCCTATATTTAATATCCAAACATCTGATATGACAATTTATAAAAAGATTGATATACTTCATACGATCGATAGGCCACTGTTGTTGGTGAGAAGTTAAAGAGATGGGATATAGAGGGGATTTAATATATTTTTGGTATGCAATGATTAATCATTGGTAACGAAAAACGATTTTGAGTGAAATTCGATTATACATGTTTTAAAAGGCCATAATATTTACGATTTTCGTTGAAATTCAATACAAAAATTCGAATAAAAAAAAAATACTACATTAAACTCAACTTTTATTTGTTGACCACTAATTACAACTTATAATAAATCTCTTGTTAAATATTCAATACTTCTGTTTGGTCTAACAATTTTATCACAAAGTACCTACCGAATAAATATTAACAAATCTAGAAAAAGCATTAAAATATAGGATTTTTAGCTTAGCTTCAAGTCTCTACGAACTTTTTGAACTGAATTACAACAAAAAAACAAAATTAAAAATAATAAAAGCGTTATTTTCGTACACTTTCCCATTTTTCCTACGTATTTTCCCAATTATTTTGAAAACTGTTAAGAAAATTAAAATATGACTTCTTTCAAGTACTATTCCAGGAAAATTTTATTTCAGAAAAAGTGCTACACTTGGAAATCAAAATAAGTTTTCTCGTAGAATTTTTGTTTACTGTATAAAAAAAAAACATCATTATATAACAAATTCATTTCTCGTTCGCTCAGAATCTAAAAAGTAAATCAATGAATTATTCAAATAATTTTTCTGAATTACTATAGCATATATGCGCCATAACACTAACAAATATTTTAGACAAACAAAGAAAATATCGGTATCTTGCAAACCCTTTATGATAATAATTATCGTATTGTTGGCTCTTTCATTTGACGATATTGATCGTATTTTGTATACGCGGACAACTTTTGGTTTTCAGCATGGAATGGGCATGCCATCTGTGGGTATTCTTTTGCACGAAATCATCAAACTCATGTTTCACGCCAAAGTCGTGGATCCCGTATTTTTTAGGATAGGCACCAGCGGAGGTATCGGGCTGGAAGGCGGTACAGTTATCATTTCCGACGAGGCGGTAGATGGCTCTCTTCAACCCCACTTAGAATTAGTAGGTGAAATTTAACTGAAATCTTTTATTATAGTTATATTTATGTATACATCATGAGTCGTCTATAAATTGATATTGTATTATTTAAAACGAGTTATTATTTAATACCGGGTCGTTGCGGTCAAAAACCGTGACTTATTCATTTAATAACGTATATACTATATACTATATAGTATAGACGGAATAATAATATTTATTCTTATTTGTACACAGCAAATTCTGGGCAAGACTGTGAAAAGAAGTTCGGTGTTGGACAGAAAATTGCAGTGGGAATTAAAGTCGCTTGCAGAACCGGATGACCCGTATCCTACTGTGATCGGCAAGACTGTATGCACCAGTGATTTTTATGAAGGTACATAATCGTATACATCATTTAGGATTACCGAAAATCGATGGATATCGAATATATTTCTATAATATATGATTTTCGATTCAATGAAATCTAGAAATTTCCGGATATTTGTTAAAAATCTGCAAAACCTCTTGCATGTTATGTTTAAAAAAAATATTGTTATAATATGAGGCCGTGAACATTTTTTTCATTTACGTGGTTTTTCCTTCTTATATTTATATATTCGTGAGATTATCACGCCTAATAGCTTTAAATCCGTTTTTGTGAAATGGAGAAGAAAATAACAAAAATGTACACTGCTTATAATTTTACGTAGATACATAATAATACAGTTTTATTAAACTGCAATACAAGAATAAACCAATAGGTACCTATACTTTTTCTATCAAGGCCTTGTTTGAGAATTTGTTTATTCTCATCTTTGGTATAATCAACAAATAATAATGGCATAAATACATTTTAATACATTTGTACAACATCTAGTCAATAAACAGTTAATATTTATGGTTAGGAATTTCTAGCATTTGCATATTATTTTTGAAAGATTAAAAAAATATCAGAGTTAAACATAAATACTATTCATTATGTAAAGAATCTAAACCCTAAATTTTATTTTACTTTTTAAAGCATATTTTAACAGTGTTATATAGCTTTTAAGTGATATAAAAAGACATATACACGTATCTTACCGTATTGTTAACCACGTTTTTTTTTAATAAACATTATTCAAATTCATACGCATTGATATAGTATAGTCGAATAAATTATCGTAAAATAGTTTGATCAATATCTCAAATTATTCATCACGAAAAGATGTTTACAACATTTTTTAAATTAATACCATTAATATTGAAAAAAAAAAAAATAAATATCTTATAAAACCAATATATTCTTCGTTACAATCAGAATCTAAAAAGACATCCTAGGATAATGGGGACGGGTGCAGCCATTGTTATAAGTAATTTAATGTATACCTGTAAGAAATGATAAACCGTTGCTTAAAAAATAATTTTGAGCGGAGTTCAGTTGATAATGATGCTTTGTCAACAATGTAATATGTCATACTAGCTGTCCTGCATGGCCTTGCCTGTACCAGTTTTTATTATTATATATTTCTTTATGGTTTTTACCGTGTTAGTAATGAATAAAAACAAATAGGTGGAAAGTGAATAGCCCGCCTTCGGTAAAAACATTGGACGGTTAGGTCTAAACTCTAAACCAGCAACATATAATGTTTGACCTTGTGCCTTATTGATGGTCATTGAAAAACATAGTTTCACACGAAATTGGAGACACTTAAACTGTAATGGTAGATTGGTTGTTATCATTGGTAAGAACGTTTCCCCAGCTCCACAGACAGTAAGAGTCATACACTCAAGCAGACAGTTTTTAAAGATTTTATTTGCAATCATGTGCCGTTATTTATTACCATAGATACCATAGATACGTTTTGACCAACCTTATACATTTTTGTCCATAGAGTATATAAAGACAACATTTATTGTATTAGTGCAATGGTATCGAGTTCAAATTTCAGATATAATTTCAATTTTGACTAAATATATGTTTTAAGTAATATTTACATTTCTTATAATTTCTCGGTTTTTAAAGTTTTTCAAATTTGATGAGAAAACTCCAGAGAAAATCGAAAAATAACCTCCTTAAAGTACCTCCCCACACCGATTTCTTTTCAGAAAAAGTGCTACACTTAAAAATCTGAGCAAGTCGTCTAGTAGAAAAGTTGCGCGTAGCTAAAAAAATAAAAAGTAAACATCTTTGAAAAACCGTAAGCTAATTCGCTCCACTCAAAATCTAAAATAATAACATTAATAAGAGTCAAGTTTTTATATTATACAATTTTAATAAAAAAAAACCTTTAAAAGCATAATTTAATGCATATGTGGTTGTTTTTTAAAGCATATTTCCATGTTTTTTAGAGTTATAAATCTTTAAGCCTATTAATATTGTATTTAATACTAAACAGCAAGCGAACAGTGTAATAATAATTACATAAATGACAGAGATGGGGAAGTAATTAATAATGATGCTACTCAACAGTTATTTGTATTATACATTTATTAAAATATAGTAAAAAGTGATGGCTTGCAGTTGATCTCTTTGCCGTTAATGTTTTAGTCTCGTGTATTGAGTTGTCAGACTGCAGAGTTATTTACGAAAGGTGACTGATTATAGTGGATAATGAATAATATTACTCTTAGGACCGCGAACAGTTTGTATTGTAGTGTTCTTTTCAATAGTTATACATAAACATATCCAGACCATTTTTCAGGTTACCTATGCAAGAAGCCTGTATACCATATTAAGCCATATTGGGTATTTGAGAATATATACTAATTTTGTGATTTTTTGTAATGGTTATCTTTATCAGATTTCGTTAGGTAGAAAGGCTTAATCACCGATTTTCAAATTGTCAGGAGAGCCAAAAACAAAATTTTCAACATAAATTGTATAATATTAAAATATGTTATTTTCAAAAATGAAATCCTTTGCGGATAATAAATTGACAATTACTTACATGATAATATACTCGTATATTGTTTGTTAATTGTATAATAAAAAAATACAAAATACAAAAAGCATTAAAACATTTAAAAATAAATATTATAATAAAAATTGAATTTAATATACCTATTATTTATTGAAAATGTATACAAAATGATTGTTTACAGATAAACATTAAATTATACTTAAAACAGTTGCTGTACCCGTCCCCATTATCCTAGGACAGCTTTTTTTGTTGCAATTTAATTAAAACTGTTGACAGACATTTTAAATTTTGACAGAAAACTTATATTTGTCTTTTCTACATGGTAAAATTTTCAATAATGTTTTAGTTATTTTTGAGCTATTTATAGACATTTTAATTTTGCGAGTTTTTACGTAATCTTTATTTGGTAGGTATTCTGTGGATAAAATTGTTAGACCAAACAGGAATGCTTAAAATTTTAAATAGTTGTACTTAGTGTTCAAAAATATTGAATATAATGTAATATTTTTTTTTATATAAGAATTAGAATGTAAAATGTTGACGAAAATCGGAAATATTTCGAAATAAATAAAACTAAACTCCACTCAGAATCGTTTTTCGTTAGAAATTAATAATCTCTGCGTCCAGATATACACTAAATTATTCTCTATATGTTACCTTTCAACTTTTTTCCCGTCTTTTTAACAATATATATTAACTCATACATTATACAATATACATGTAGGTATGATATTAATTAGTTTTTGAACGCAAATAGTAATATTATAATATGGTGTACCCCTATTTTAAATAATACATACTTATACTTTTATTTTATTTTATTCATAATGTGTTGTATTAAAATCATTATAATCTACCATTAAATTAAAACAAATTTTAAAAAGGACTGACATACTTAGCACAGTGGATGGGCCACTGTTGTTGGTGAAAAATTGAGTAGGTAGGATTTAGTGGGGAGTTTAATTTTTATCTTTACGCAACGATAAACCATTCCTAACAAAAATGTATTCGAGACCAGTCACCATCGTTCAAAACTTCCACTTGATCCGATCTCCCATCTCGTATTTTCAACTATACCCAACCACCTCTTTTTCGGTTTTTCTCTCCTCTTCTTTCCTCCTACGTTTATTTTAATTTAAATTCCTTTTTCTTTATGGCATCCTTAAATAATCTCAGTCTTTTTCTGTTATTTTGTCTACTATTGAAGCCACACCTAACCTATCAATTATATGTATTCGTCCTTTATCGTGTCTGCTTTCGTCACTCTATTCATCCACCTAAGCATCTAATCTTTATTCTATTTGTCTGTCTACCCGTCAAACACTCCAAACAATACAACATAGTCACAATACACTTTTGTAGAACTTATAACTTTAAATCTCATTGGAATTCTCTAGTCACATAACACACTTGACACTTCTATCCACTTTATGCAATCACATTTAATTCTATGTTTCACATCCTCATGAAACCTACCGATTCTTTGTACTGAAGAGCTTAAGCACTTAAAACTTTCAAACTAGCCTATAACCACTTATTGTTGTTAGCTGCCATGCGCTTTTTCTCCAAACTCATACTCTGTTTTACTTATCCTTAACTTATCCTTAGTCTGAAGCAATAGTATACCTAACTTGTAACGTAATATAATACAGTAAAACATAGATATAATATTTATATTATTAGCTATTATAATGCTTTGATAGGCTTCAAACAATATATGCAATTGAACCCAACCCTTAACCTTTTAGTTTATTTATACTCAGTATCATAAGTAATAAAGAAGTGTATAATGAAATATCATTTAATTATTATAAGAAAGTATTCAATTAGGTACCAAATAAAAAGTGTTTGATAATGGTAAATTTTATACTTCGTCAACACATTAAAAAAATATAGAATTATTAATTCAACCAAAAATTATAATAACGATAACTACTAGTTTCGACCTAAGTTATCTTCTGGTTAAGTACATAAATAAAATTTAAAAAAACTTCAATACAATTGAAATGTAAAATGCGAGACAAAAAAATACTATAAAAATAGCATAAAATAAATAAATTATGAAAATGAATGTGTGTACAAATAGCATAGATGTAGTGTAGAATGCAGTGTATAATAAACTTAAGCGATTAGTTCAATAATATATTTCAGTAAAAGTAAACAATAGTCTTGCAATATTATTATCTACAATTATTATTTGTATTTAAACGAGTTATTCTACCTAATTATCATATCATTAACATTTTAGACAGTACTATACAATAATATACTTATAGTAATATTATAAGTAAATATAACACTACATTATAGGACAATTACCAATATTCGCTTTCGTCAAATTTATTTCTCTCGAATATGGTCTTATTTTTATTGAATGACTCATAAGGAGTTTTCATCGGACGTTCCTTATTATTAGATAATGCCAAAAGAAAAAATATTATATTTGTATAAGCTCACCAACTTTAATATGATTTACAACTTAACAAAATTGACAAAAACATGAAAATATAGTAATAACAACGATAATTTATTACCTAACATTATAGGTCATTTTATCGTTCGATCGATAGGGGTAGTTAAACGGACCGTTTATTATTAAAACTATACTCGATATATTGTACATGAAATCGTAAAATTTTTTTGTGTAATATTGTTGAACTTTATTTATTATAGTGGGCCTTAAAAAAAAAAAAACAACAACAAACGAAAATTAATTAAATGATATATCTTTATGTATGTATATATGCATAGGTCAAGGCCGTATGGACGGGGCATTTTGCGACTTCACGGAGGAAGAAAAAATGGAATATTTGGAAAAACTAAAATCGAGTGGCGTAAGGAACATCGAAATGGAATCATTGGCTTTTGCCGCGCTCACACACCACGCGGGAATTAAAGCAGCAGTGGTTTGCGTCACTCTGCTTGATAGACTCAAAGGCGATCAGGTATACCTAACCAACCCTAAAAAAATGAAGATAATAATAACAATAATAGTTTTAAAAAATGTAATATTTACATTTGTCGAGCATATTTTATTTTAGATCATAGATCGTCACTGTCCGTAGTGATGAAGAGTTGCTCTCACTTAACCCAACTCGTGTGTATAATTTTCGGATCGGTTATCACCGATGAAATTATCTAATTTTTCAATTATTAATTCTAAACACGTTACACAATAATACATTATATAATATTTTCTAAGTATTGAAATTCCTTGATGAACAAGTATTGTTCTCGTGAACATGAACCCGTATTGTGTATTATAGTGTCTAATGTCAAGTACGCTATACGCAAATCGTTATTCGTCATTATTTAATATCAATATAAATGTTTGTATTTATGCGTGTACGTATGTATGTCTCTCTGTGTACGCGTGTGTGTGGTGGATGGAGGGGTGTTAGAAAAATTAAAATTAAAAAAGTATAGTAAAAGTAAAAAAGTAAACTTCGCCAATTACGTCACTGTGTTGCGCCGGATAGCAAAGGTATCGGCCCACCGAGTTTTAAGATTTTAACCGGCCCTAAAAGGTTAATGGGCCATTTCATTTTTAACCACACACAAATATTTTTATAACCATACTGTTAAATTTTTATTTATTTGTATATGTGTCTGTGAGTTACTTCTCTTCTACATCTTTTTGAATATAAAAACGATTCTAAGCGAAGTTTGGTTATATACAATTTGAAAAGCCAAAATTTTAGTTTAAAACGATTATAAAAAAAATACTACTGCATAACACTCAACTTTTTTTTTACTATTAAAACCAACTTATAATGAATCTCGTGTTAAATGTTCAAGCATTTCTTTTTGGGTAAACAATTATATCCATATAAAAACTACATAAAAAAAACTCCTAAATATACGTATAAGGCTTGTAAATAGTTCAAAAACGGTCAACATTTTTTTACGTCCAGAAAAGCAAATATAAGTTTTTATCAAAATTTCAAGTCTTCACGAATATTTTTAATTGAATTATAAGAAATTTAAAATAATGAAATCATTATATTTCTTTAAATTTCCCCGTTCTTTCTGCTTTTCTTCCCTATATTGCCCAATTATTAAGAAAACTACACGGAAAATCAAAAAACGACTTCTTATTCACCGATTAGATGTATTTGCCATTTTTCTATTGGAGCAATATTGTATTAGTATACAAATTTAAAATAATGAAATATTACTCCGTACATTTTTTTTTTGTATTTTTCCGGTTTTTTCTAATTATTATGAAAACCGTTTGGAAAATTAAAAAAATGGTCAATTTTTCATCGATTAAATTCAAAATATAACAAAAAAATCTCTTAACATTTCCCGATTGAAACAAGGTTTCTATTCAAAAAGTTATAAACCGTGAATTGTTGGCTGTGTTCATATTTTATTGTTCAAAGTTATAATATATTACTCTAATATTTTCGATCATATATTACTAAGCCAGCCCAAATTGTATGCGGCCCACCGAATTTAACTCGATAACTCGCCAGCCTATCCGGGCCTGTCTCTATAGCCACTATATGACAATGTAATAGTACCTACAATCTATATAGGTACTTATATTATAATAGTATGAAAAAAACAACGAATTATCTCTGTTTACAGATCCACTATCCCAAAGAGGTATTGGATGAATGGCAGCAGAGACCCCAGAAATTAGTATGCCGTTACATAAAAAAATACCTGTCGAAAAGAGGACTGATATTGAACAATAATCATTGCGGGTCGATCAGCGTCAAAAGCCCACGAAGGTTCAAACTGGTCCAACAGGAATCCGAGAGTTACGATTAAACCGCAGCAATAAATAGGGGAGGGGAGAAATAACATCATAATATTATTACATACGATTTTCGATGGCACCGCCACAACGCTACAAAATATACCTACAAAAAAAAAATTCTATAACGATACAACAATAATATTATTATAGTATTTATAGACATTTATACTATAATATCAATATAATTAACGAACCCACTACCGTGTTTATAAACGCTACTTTATTCCAATTATTTCTTTTTAATACTTTGTTCATATTATACTTATACTTATTCTATATATCATATGATAATTTTCTTAATCTATAATCTATAATAATATCTATTATCTTTATAATATTAGTATTCTACGTACTCTTGAAACACTTTTAAACAAAGGTTTTATTTCATATTAAGTAGTAATATTATATAACTATCTTAAACCTTATACATAGGTATATCTAGTTTAATAAAAATAATATACGTTAGAGTAAAATTAGACAACTACGTTACTATTATATCCAGCGTTTAGGTATACATTTTTTTTTTTTATTATTATTATTTACTACTGCATAAAATAATAATACTCATGTTAAAATATCATTAAGTAAAGATAAATTATTATCTATAATCAATTAAAACAACGAATAACGATACAAGCGGTTATACAGTACCCACCAATAGCAGGGCAAGTAAACCACTTATTTTTTTTCTAGTTTAATTTTAGTTAAGCTACTCATTGAATTAAAAGTTATCAAAAAAAGTAACTTTTAACTTTTAAACTAATTACTACCCAGCTTTTCAAAAATAAAAAATATCAATAATTATTAGATAGATACGAACTTAATTAACATTTTTCGAATGATGTTCACCATATTATTAAAATATTTTGTGAAGCTACATTCTTTCGTATTTGATAATAAGAATATTATTGCTCAACAATTTGTTACACATATTGTTCCGAACACTAGTATAGATATAAATTCGTAGGTTATATGCTACAGTAAAACCCCAAAAAGACTACTCTGATTTTAGTATCTTTTCAAACCTCGAATTTGACCTTCTTTATAAATAAAAAAAAATGTTTGGTTAACATTATTTCATTTTAAATATTCACACAATTTTACCAAAATTATTTAATTCTTAAACATTTTTTTGTAAGTATTCAACTCTAGTTAAGAAAAATATTCCATAATTCGATTATGTATTAAAATACAGTGAGCTGATTCACCTTTTAAATTTTCTGAGGGTTCTACTCCCAAACTTACATTAACTAAAGAGAAAGAGTCATATCAGAAGTGCATATGAATAAATCTATAATTATTAATTTTTGCGTGTTTATGGTGTGTCACAGGGTAAAATTTAATTTTAAATTGAAAGAACGGGAAACAAAAAATAAATTAGGATTTAATTTGAAAATGCATTTTAAGAAAACATTCGTTACTGCTGATTTGCTTTAAAATGTATTTTTACCCTGCGAGCTATATTTAGTAAAGTAAAGTAGGTACATATTTAAATTCTTCTACTACTCTTTCTCGATAGTTGTAGAATTTAACCGTTAGGATGGACAAATTATTGGCTGAATTATTATAGAATACAAATTATATTTCACTGGTGTAGAAGAGGATGCAAATGGATCGCACTTCAAATTGTTTTTTTTTCTTACATTTTTTTTTACACAAGACAAATGCTTCAATTTTTTCACGCAGTATCTCAACAAATGCAGAATTTCTGTCTGGTAATACTGTATTTGAAATATGTGTCAATATTTTCAGCAGTTCATCTCCAGTTCATCATCAAAGTTAAAACACTTAGTCAACATATTGTTTACTTGGCAAGATGTGTAAGTAAACACAAATAAATAATCACCACAATAAATTTCGTAAATAAATTAATAATTTATAAATATATAAAAAATAAATGAATGAATGCATCGTTTGGAGTATTATGATTACAGTCAAAATGTAATGTGATATACCCGATGATAAATTTTTAATTTGAAACCGGTCATATAATACACTTATCATAATACTCCAGACAACGCATTCATTCAATTATTCATTTTTTTATTTCTACATATACATTTTGTACTTATATATTTATTTAAGAGTATTAACCATTTTAACAATTTTGTTTTTACTTTATTATTTTATTAATAATTTATAAACAATGGTTAACAATTTATAGACCAAAAATGTATTAAAAAAAGTCACTGTGTTATTTGACTTTGTTAAACCTGAAGATGAATTTTGAATTCGAAACCGGTTGTTAAATATAAGTCTAACAGTTCAAACTAAGAAATGTTAACAGTGTTAATATTTACTTAAATGTCTTAACAAGTAAACAATAATATGTTGACCTGGTGTTTAACTTTACAATTAATCTTATTTGTCGTTAAAAGTATTTGTAATATTACAAAATGTAATTTTACTTAATTTCCACATTATATTGCATCGTTTAAAGGTTTAATCATTATTAAATGTAATGTCACTAGGTGCATGATTTTATTTTCAAGTTGGGTTTTTTGTACACGGAGTTATAACGAAATGTTTTTGGTGTATTCTATACCTTTTCAACTATTCACTTGCGACAGTGTGCTACCCGTGGACCATGAGCAGTCACAACATTTTGAAATTCATAATCCTCTTCAAAAATAGTTGTACCTTTGATTCTCGATACTTAGAAATAAAACGATTCAGTAACGACTTCTTCAGTCGACATAAGTTTAGAAATAGAAGTCTCGGATAATCTAAAAAGTGTATCAGGTTACTGTATTTTAATAAATTATCAAAATGTAGAATATATTCCCTTAACTAAAGAAGAATACTTTATAATAATATTTAATAATCGTATAACTTTAAAAATATAGAATTAAATTAGAAAAATAAGAAAACTTGAACAATATTAATGAAAAATCATATAATTTTTATAAAATATGTTTTTTGTATATTAAAATAAAAAAAAAACTATAACTAACTAATTTATAAAGAAGCAAAATTCGAAGTTTGAAAAAAGGCTAAAATTACATTGGTTTCCCGGGGTTTTACTCGGGCATAGAATATATGGAAAATCTGTACTACCTATTGATAACAATATAATATAATAATAGTAAAAACAAAAACAAATCATATTATGCCTTTATACATTTAAAATATTCTATAGCAAATTTACTTAATTAATTTTATTAGTATTATATTATGCTAATTATTAATATTATTTTATACTATATTATATTGTAGTTTAGTTGTATGAAATATTTGTATTTGTTTTTGTAGACTATACAAATTACATTGTACTTGTCTATTGGATTTTTTACAGTACAAATAATAATATTAATTATTATACAAAATGCCTTTCGTGTATATTATTTTGTTAATAACTATACTGTCAAACGGTAATAATAATTTTCAGTGACGTGCATAAGGAGAGGTAGGAGACTATTCGATTATGCCCCCCTCCATTAGTCTTAAAATACAACAACTATGGGTAGGTATTTATTTAGTAATCTAATTTTGAAATGCATATATTTCAGTTATAAGTTACAAGGAAAATTTATATTTATTGAATATAAATTTGGTTTTTTTGGATCCAGCTATACTATTTTGTCATTGGGAAATAATATAAGAAGAGGAACTATAGGACTTAAAAAAAAAAATCGTTGTCACTTGAAATGATTTAACTCAACCTAATCCGAGAGGAACTTTTCAATTTTAGATTCTGAGCGGAATGAGAAATGTATTGGTTTTACAATGTTTATATTTTTTATTTTCTTTCTGTGGACAACTTTTCTATCAGCAATTCTGGTCCACTTTACAATGATAGCACTTTTTCTGAAAGGAAATATTACTGGGATGGTATTTTAGGGTGGTCATTTTTTACTTTTCCAGGTTTTCCAGATAAATGGGTAAAAACACGGAAAAAACCAGGAAAATAGATACAATATTAAACAAATATTATTAAAGAAAATATATAATGCATATGTAATTATTTTACCACAATGTGACATATATATGTTGACAAAGCAACATTAATAACTGAACTCCGCTCAGAATCATTTTTCGTTGTGATAGTTAATCGTTGCATAGAGATATACATTAAATTTCCCCTCTATCTTCCCAACTTCTGATCTACAACAGTGGCCACTCACGTGCGAAGTATGTCCGTCTTTTTTATTTTAGCACCATTTCTTGTAGAAAACATACAGTGTAAAAGACGAACACGTACTTCGCACGACGGGTCACTGTTAGAGTCATCCTCGTCACTTTTTATTGAGGGAGGATATGAAAATTGATTAAAAACTGAGTCGTGGGATTAAGCCCCCACACCCTTATTTTCATTAATATTCGAGATAATGAAGAAAACATGGTTCTTTAGGTTAAAAATGATTGAAAGATTAAAAAACGGTTATCATTAACAACCATTTGTATTTATTTTAGATTCTGAGGAGCGAAGATGCTTATAGTTTTACAAGGATGTATATATATATATATATTGGTAAAATGTGGAAAAAAGTCCATAAGAACAAAAGTACTGTGGAATAAGTATTTTGTAGGACAAACGGGACTATGTTACTCTATAGCAGAGGTTTCCAAACTTTTTATGGCACGACTTATTTTTGAAATAATTTAAATTTTGGTAACCCACAATAATAACAATGACCCTTTTTTTGGTTTATTTTTCATTTCTGGATGATGCATGGAATTTGTTCAGTAGCATACTTTCATTTGCAAGTGTTGATCCAATTTGCTGGCAGAAAATTTGTTCACAAGAAAAAAAAAAGACCATAATAATTTTTAACTAATGCGTAGGTATATTTCGTTATTTTTCCCGTTTTTCCAATTTATTGGGAAAATTCATAGGAAATCAAAAAATAACCTCCCTAAAGTACCACCCCAGTCAGATTTCCTTTCAAAAAAGTTACTTCATTGTTAAATCGCAGGTGGTAGAAAAGTTATTCACAATTAAAAAATACTGTAATATTTTGTTTTAAACTAATACCTACATTTCGTACATTTTCCCGTTTTCGTCGGCTTTTTCCTATTTTTACAATATATTGGGAAAACTCTTGGACAATCAAAAAAAGAACTTTCTAAAGTACCTCTTCAGTCCGATTTCCTTTCAGAAAAAGTGTTACAAAGTGCTTATAAATAGAAGCAAGATTTCTGGTATAAAAGTTGGTTACGGATAGAAAAAAAAAAATTAAATCACTGTAAAACCAATACATCCCTCGCTCCATTTAGAATTTAAAAAATGTATTATTTAAAAATATAACGCATACTTTGGAAACCTCTGCCCTATGGTATACACCATAAAGATATAGTATATTATCATACAGTACTACATAGTATAATGTAAAACGCCGAGTTTTAATCGAACGACAACGGCTGCTATGTTCCCGATGTCGTAGTTTTTAATTTTTGCACACGTTGTTTTCTACCAGAAATATTGTGCTACTCAAAAACTGCCAAGAGACCTTTTGTTCCTTTGAATATCTAGCTACTGACAGTGAAAGTCAGTTTTGATTTGAAAATCAATCAAAAACGTACGTAATCCTCATTAAATCAAATGGTATAATGTAGAACATAGCAACCTAATCGAACGACGCGTTAGTGGTGGCAGAAAAAGCTTGTGCTTTTTGAGGTACCATTTTTACAATAGGCGACCATAGGAGTTTAATGTCCTTGTCTCTAATCTTCATGGTATATACCACGATCACGATTAAAAATATATTGTGGTATAAACCTTGACTGCACCATCGTAAATATCTCATCGTTATCAATGGTTATCATTTATCAACATGGTTCTATTTAATATTTATCAACAAATTCAATTTTCAAATATATGAGTGAAACTGTGAAATAATATTTTCTTTTCGTAACAAATTTCTAATACTTACCGTTACAAAATACAAATATACATGAACTATGAAAATTAAAATATAAAATCTATGATCTTTATTAATAAAATTGTTTATACTTGAATATTTTTGTCAAATTGGTTCATACATCTTCCAGTGAGTGTATATAAATTATAAATTAGGTACATTAAGTTAAACTCTATATAAGCACTATTTAATTTAATAGTTATCTTAATACCATCTAAATTTTGTTTTATTTTGTAAATACAACATAGTTATATATGTATAATATAAGAATATTAGTTTCATTTTAATTTACTGATTAATACCAATATTAGGGATCAATTTAATAAGTTTTGTATCAACTATTTGTTTTATTATAAAATAAAAAAGAAAATTAATACAAAATATTATAGAAATGTCTGCTGGAGAAGTGGTTATGGAAGTGCCAACTAGCTTAAAACGTCTTGCACGGTTAGTTGTTAGAGGTTTCTACACAATAGAAGATGCACTCATCATTGATATACTGGTCAGAAATCCTTGCATGAAAGAAGATGATATGTGCGAATTATTGAAATTTGAAAGGAAAATGCTTAGACAACGCATATCAATACTTCGAAGTGAAAAATTTTTACAAACTCGATTACGAATGGAAACTGGAGCTGATAGTAAAGCTCAGAAAGTCAACTATTATTTCATAAACTATAAGGTAATAATACTTTTGAAGAATATTGTCAGGATAAATAATTTTTAATACATTTCCATTTGGTTTTATATAGTCTTTTGTAAACATGGTGAAATATAAACTTGATTGTATGCGGAAAAAAATGGAAACCCAGGAACGTAATGCAACAAGTAGAGCAAGTTTTAAATGTGTTCAGTGTTTTAAAACATTTACAGATTTAGAAGTATGCAGACAAATATTTTTAAATTGACATATTAAATTGTTTCAAATATTTTATTATTTTATAGGCTGATATGTTATTTGATTTCCAAACCAATGAGTTTCATTGTACTTATTGTGGAGAATTAGTAGAAGAAGATACGTCTGTACTACCACAACAAGATTCAAGGGTAATGTTGGCTAATTTCAATGAAGTCATGGAACCTTTTTATTCAATACTTCGTGAACTCGATGGCATACGTCTTGCACCTGAACTTCTAGAACCAGAACCCACTCGAATTCTTGGGTTTGTATACTTACTATATTATTTTTATACTGTTTGAAAGTTATAAAAAATTGTAATGTTTGTTATTAGGTTGGAATCGAACACAACACAGTCTTCAAATAATAAACAAAATATTAGTATGGAACGATGGGGCCCTGATAAAATGAGAAATATGGATTCAAATAATTCTAAAATGGAAGTTACCATTGGTGAAGATCTCCAAGACAACCGTCCAGTTGTTAAAGAACGACCTATATGGTTAACAGAGAGTACTGTTGTGGAAAATACATCCACTCGAGTAAGATACACATAAATGAATCTGTAAATAATATGCTTATTTTGTTATCAATAATTAAACTACTTTTTAAATAATTTAAAAGAATTCAGTTGAAATGGAAAATAAAGACAGTATTGAAGGAGCTCCACTTGAGTTCACTCCTGATGTAGATATAATGACTGTCTTATTACAACATGAAAAACGTGCTGGTCAAACAGATGGACCTGCCAAAAGAACTGCCCCAGACGCAGATTCAAGTGACGAAGATTTTTCGAAGACTGTGAAAAATGAACCATCTCTTGGTTCAGGTAATACAATTTTATTAATTTGAAACATGTTAACTTTTCAGACTAGTTTTGAAAAAATCCCTTAGGGAGGCATATGATGCTACAGACTTAACAAACCTTACTAGTGTAAAGTGAGTGATTCCTGTAGGCATATTACCATTAGCCTTTATTTTAGGGTGAATTCACCTTATAGTTGACAATTATTATAATTGTGTAGTAACATATACAAGCATTACAAGTAAAAAAATTATACAGTAAAATTAATAATATTAAAAGTTTTAAAATTAAATAACATGAAAAGATGAACTTTTGGTAACTACAAAAATAATTTTTTGACAATACCATTTTATCTTTGGGGAGGGGGAGAATTAAAATACTCTCATGTTACATCTACCTATCATGAAAGGTGACAAATGGGATTGAATCAGGTCGATGGCCGGTATTAATTCTGTCAAACAATATAAGGAGTTCTAAACAAGACTAAAGAATTTTCCCACTCAGGTGTGTGTAGGGACAATAGGTTTGATATTTATAGTTGATATAAGTTTGATAAAATTAAATCTAATAAAAGTTAACAATAGACTTGAGAAATGGAAAGTTATACTCCCCTTTTAAGTTAAGGTCAGGGGAGAGTAGTGGAACATTATTTTGTATAAAAGCACAGTGTGCGGTGTTTTAATAGTGCACAACTGCTCTCCCCTGACCAAAACTTAAAAGTGAATATGTCGTCATCGGATTGAAAAAAATCAAAATTTATTTATAACCAAATGTTATTTTTATTAATATTCTATCTATTTATAGAATTTTTAACATAAGGTAACATTTAAAAATCAAAATTAAGTAGTGATTTTACGTCTGAACATAAGGGCAACAAAAAATAATATGAATATAAAATTGTAGAGCAACCTGTTTTTTAAATGTTCTATTAACACATTCCGAAAAAAGTTAATACTTTCCAAGATAATGAGTGTTCCCAGTTTAGTGAATCATCCTGTATTAATATTATAATACTGTATCAATATCTAACCAAATAAATGCATCAACAAATAAAAATAATATTCTTTGTCTAATTATAACTAAAGAAAATGTAAATACTTTAAACAGTTGTATTAATCACGACTGATGGTATTTAAAGAAAAAATGTTTTTGTTTTGTTTTTATGTTGTCATTGTATGCAATGTAATATATGCTTCCCTATGTTTTATTTTTAACAAAATTGTTGGGCTGACTAACATGAATTAAAGCGGTTTTAATCTTTTAGTGTGCATTGACCCTGAGAGGTTGACTTTGATAGTAGACAAAATAAGAGAAAATAGACTGGTTTAGGTTGGATATGTCATGAGGAGAGAATAATCAGAAACAGTAAGAATTATAATACAAGTTAATGTTGTAAGGAGAAAGAAGGCGAGAAGAAAACCAAAAAATAGGTGATTGGATACAATTGAGAATGATTTAAGGATAGTTGGTGTATAAAAATACAAGGTAGGATATCTGGTCAAATGGGAGTTTAGAAAGAAAGTGGCTGACACAAATAGTTAGGACAAAGGTGAAGGAGAAAATGATCAGGTTTTGAAAAAATGCATTTTGTTATTATAATATTATTATTATTATTAGTGTAAATCTTTCTTTTATTCTAATGGAAATTCAAAAATAATTTATTTCAGGAGTTGAAGAATTTACGTCTGAAGAAGAAGAAGATGATGAAGATGTACCTTTAGTAAGTGTTGCTGGTCGTCGAGTACCAATTACAGAAGTTGTAAATATGACAGATGCCATTAGTCAAATGACACCATCTGAAAAAGAACACTACATCCAAGTATATCAAGACTATTTCTCTGCATTGGGTGATTAAATGATCCTTCATATTAAGATAAATGATTTATGATTCTTAAATATATCTATGTTACAGTTAATGTTGAAAATTGGATAATTCCAGCTTTTAATTCAGTAGAACCGATTTATGCTATTAATATTAGAGTGGATTGACCTAATATCAAACTCATAGATAAGAACATAGACAGTAATTGTATTTTGATTTTTATATTGTAATATTTTACATACTCGTATCTAACTTAAAAATTAATCAACGTACAAACACTGACAATGTTTTATATTCAAGTTTGATATTAGGCCAGTTCACTCTAATATTGGTACTAATAGAATAAAATTGGTTCTACTGAACTTAAAGTTGACATTATCCAATTTTCAACATTCGCCTTAACATATATACTGTTCTAAGTAATTAAATTATATAAACATATTAATATAAAATTAAAAAAATATAAATCATTTACTATAGACATCAATTTTAATATATTTTATTATTTTATTAAAAAATGTTTTATACTTAATTTATTATTTAATATTTCCTTTGTAAGCAATGTCTCGTATATCTGCATTATAATTAAATAATTAATTAATAATTAAATAACAGAAAAGAACAATAATGACTTTCTCGGTGATACTTTTTTCATTTATTACACAACAGATGTGGTTTTAACACATGACATACGGAATAAAACAACTTAATTCACAATCATAGATGCTTACTCCTAACGGGTTATCCCCAATTTTAACCTACTTGTCAGAAGAACCTCTGTAATTTTTTGTTAGGGCAATGGGTAATGGCAAAAGGTGTTCACCGAAGTGACTCAGCAAGACTGCTAGTGGTTTTATGATGGTGTAAGGAAATACCAAGTTATAAAATTTCGTACACTCTCTGGAGTCTAGATTCATAGTTATCTATGATAAAGCATAGAATACATTTGATAATATCTTTATTTCTTAACTCAACATTCTCTTAGCTCGTCACATGAACGGTAGCAGTTAAAATTCTAACTTAGTTACTTTAGAGGACTCCTTTTGATGATCGTAGCACTGAATTGATGAAATAGGGCGTCGGGCAACCATAGTAGGTATCTATAATCGAGGTGTTCAATTCTGTACCCATTATGCTGTGTGTTAAAACCGTATCCATTGTATATTAAATGAAATAAAGTATCACCAAGAAAACCAATGTTCTACCTAGTTATCCTACAAATAACTAGTATAGACACAAGTATACATGCATAATCATTTATTAAAATAATTGTGTTCATGTTCTACTACTAGAACAGGACAAATTTCGTCTCTGGTTTGATTCTCAATAACTGCCTTGGTCGCTGTACACTTGATTTGGTCATTTTCACCTCGTTCCCGGTGCAGCAGATTCTCAACGCACTGGATATCCGCTTCTGCCTCCACAAGGTGTCGGCGAATCAGCCGCACCGACTCTGTAAGATTCGTAATCTCCTCTAATATTGACCCCACGGTTTCTCCTTCGTTGATGCCATGATGCTCTTTTGTCATCCGCAATCCATTCACGAAGCGATCGAGCTCTAATCTAACATTGTTTACGACCTTAGTAGCGCACTCATTGTAGGTTTCCAGTTGGCCTCTCGTCACTACCACCGCGTCTCGCAACTTCTTCTCAGCAGAGCTGTCGCGATCTGCATTCCGGTTCGCGGCTAAACGCAATGTAACTGCGATCAGTTTGTCCCGGGTTGCCGTCTCCGGTAATTCGTGTCCTATAAAGTTAGAAATTTCGTTTAACCGACGCCGATGGTATTCGTTGCAGTCCTTGACGTATTCTTCAACACAGTCTTTGTCTAAATTGACGACACAGTCTTCGAAGCTCATTTTTTGAGCTATCGGTAACTTTGGTATCTATATAGTTATAGGTATGTTTCGATGTAAAATTTTGATTTCAATATATGTAGAACAATAATAATAATAATTGAATCTATTTGTTCATTTACCGAGTTTCATTCAGTGAGAATTAAGTTTTTAGAAAATTATTTTTGCTACAATTTTATTTTCAGATTGAACCGCAGAAAAAGCGCGTATATAAGTAACCAAGTTGTTTATTTATTATTCAATATGAACGTTTGGTATTAATGCTATAACAACAAAGCTGTAAGTGTATTATTATTACAAAAAATTTGGCATTTCTCGAGCTCAATCCTTTCAAAAACAAATCAATGAAAGAAATTTAATTTAAGGTGTCTCTTCTTTCCCACTCTAATGTCTTATGACGTTTGGATATTGGAAGATATTGGATAAATAAGGGGGTAATTGAATTTAATTTATACACAAAAAGCAACGATAAACAATTGCAATCGAGAAACGATGTCATTCGAAACGCAGTAAACTAGCAAGAACAGTTGGTTAGTCTAACTTTCCTCCATGTAGCAGTTGAAGCTAAGGTAACTCAGTAATCAACAAAAGTAAAATCTATGTTAGTTTTTCCTTATTTTGTAATTGTTTAAAAAATCTCGTAGGAATCTTGAAACGTTAATCTAAACATTTATAGTAAAAAAATTACTACACTTTTTAGCACATATATAACTTAAAAAGTTAATATAAACCTTCATATATCAAATTTTCGAAAAATTTTTATGGGTCAAAAAGATTAGCGAAAAACTCCCAAAAGTTAAACAAAAAATAATGTCTATGCTAAATACCGTGATTGTTATTATAATTTTAACTTTAAACGCTAACCAACAATATTTCTGACTAAAGTTGTTTGATAATTTTTGTGTCATATAAAACTTATGATGAACCTTGTATCAAATTGTTGAGCATTTTTGAAAAGTCAAACAAATTGTATCTACATAAACTCAAAATATTTCGAATGTTTACAAATCTATAAAAGGGTAATAATTCGTTAAAAATGTCAGGTCTCTACGATTATTTCTAACTGAATAAAACCGAAAAAAGAAAACTGTAGAGGCCTAAAAAAAAAACTATTCGGAGTGAAGTTCAGCTATACATGTATTGAAAGCTCGTATACGATTTTCATCAAAATTTGATTTTAAAACTTTTAAATGAAAAAGAGACATAATTCATACGATGAGTGCAGCCATTGTTGTTGGTGAGAAGTTGGTAAGCTTAAAGAGGGGAAATTAATTTGTGTCTGTAAGCAACGATAAACCATTGCTAATTGTAACTAAACCTTATTGAGCGAAGTTTAATTGATAGTGATGCTTTGTCAACAATATAACATGACATAATATGATGAAATAATTAAATAGGCATTAGATATTTTCTTTAATAATAATCGTTTAATATTGTACCAATTTTCCCGTTTTTTCTACGTTTTCCATATATTTTCCCGTTTATCCTCTGTTTTTTTTTTTTCGGTTTTTCAAATTTGATAAGAAAATCAGAAAATGACCTCTCTAAAGTACTTTTCTTTTATAGAAAATGATCATTGTAAATCGGAACAAAATTGCTAGTAGAAAAGTTGGTGATAGAAAAAAAATTGTAATATTTTAATAATATATTTCATACATTTTCTCATTTTTTTTTTTTCGGTTTTTCACATTTGATAAGAAAATTCTTGAGAAAATCGAAAATTACTTCTTAAAAAGTACTTTTACGTTCAGATTTACTTTCAGAAAACGTGTTAAACTTAAAATCGGAGCAAAATCTCTGGTAGAAAAGTTGTACGCAGAAAAAAATTAAAAATATACATCTTTGTAAAACCACAAGCTTCTTCGATCCACTCAGAATCTAAAACCATACATCATAGAAAAATCAATAAATCCTTCCCTACTCTTCGAATCCAAAAATTGAAAACATTGTACATTTCGTAAATTTTCAAATAAACAAATCTCGCCTTGAAAAATATAACGGATCTTATTGCTGAAAAAAGAACAATTTAAAATGAAATGTAAGTGGACTATAAACAATCCTTTAATTACAATATCATAATAACAAATGATATATTAAATAATAAATATACAAAAGTAAATAGGTAACGGTACTTACCTTAAATAAGCTTTCAAAAATCCAAATTTTAAAACATATCTAATTGTAATTAATATTATTTTAAGTTTTACCAAGAATAATTTAATTTTTACGGAAATAATTTATTAATTCAAACAAGAAAATTAGTAAAAAAAAAAACACATTACATAGGTAAACGATAAATATCACTATTACCTACCTACCTTCATTTTTTAAAATGTTAGTTACCATAATTTACTAAATGAAATTAGAAAATATCCATCATCAATACATTTGGATTTATTATATTGGTTATACAAATACGAGATAGCTTTAATCGGTTTCAAACGCTACCTACGTGTTAATTGCAGTCATTAACATAGAAGTATGCATTTAAAAAATTTAAATAATTAAGTTAAATTTTGATTCTGAATTAATATCTAAATGCATGGGTGGATTGTATTTGTATCTTCCTACCTTTGTGGGTAAATCAGCTTTCTCTTGATATGGTAAGCGATGGCTGAACATTTAAAAAAAGAAAAAATACACATATAAACTTATAACAATAAGTTACAAAAAATAATCTATTATATTTTAAAAAAGAGAGTAAATTGAGTAGTGTAATAAAATAAGTTATTTCAAAAATTAATTTACCTAATGGTTAATGAAAATCTTGTTAAATTTTTTAATGTTATGTATTTGAATTTGAGAGACTTTGACAGAAAGACTAACAGTTTAATTAAAAATAAATAACAATATGATTCCAACATAATGATGACAATTTAAAAAAAAAATTAAGAAACCTTGAATTTTAATTTAAAAAGAAAATATATTTATTATAAGATAATAGATACCTATAGGTAATTAGTAGATACTTAAAAATAAAAATAATAAAATTAGGCAAAGCAAAACTTACCAATAACACCAAAATAATTTTCATGGAGACAATAATTAAATATTCTATAATTTCTACTTAACATCTAGTGTTAAACTAGAACTATAATACAAAATTTAAGCATCATTTTGTATTACTTTTTTCACAAATGTAAAAGGTTATTTTTAGATACTTAAGCTTTTAGCTTTTATAACACATCATTTCTTAAAAGAATCAATAGCTGTATCCTGCATATAACATAATATGTCAGGAGTGGGCACCGAGAAGAGAATCCTGACTTCAAAAAACTTCCAAAAAAAATTAACACGCAACAAATAAGATAAATAAGATATTAATTAATAATTAAAAATATATCAAAAACACTACAAATTTTTTCTATAAATTATAATTTAATAAAATATTATATTTCTTCAATATATAAATACCAATTGTAAAAATATTTTGTATCTTACGATAAGATTCAAGCCACACAAGTCTATGAGAAGAATCACAGTTTGGTCACCCCTGTAATATAGTATAATATATAATGCAATAATTAATTCAATTAGCCAAAGTCTATTGGCCTATTTAGGCAAAGAGGACAAAATAATAAAAAATTATGCTCATTTTGAACAGTCAAAATTCATACTTTATAGATATTGGTCAATATCGTGATAGATTGTATTTTGGTAATACTATGGGGATTTAGGGATGAATTGATAGCTGTTTAATATAACTATTTACTAACCTCATCTGTTACTGGAGTTTAGAATTACTACTGACCATGATAAATCTGAAAAAAAAATTAAAATAACAATTGTATGCTAACCTTAAAAATATGGAGATGGATTGGAAGAATTAAATAATAAATGCGAAAAATAATTAAATTCAGAACTGTTAAAAAAATTGTTTACATTGTATAATTTTACATTATTTTAATGTTATAGTATTATAAACTTAGAGATGAGTATTGTGATGTATAACACTTCAATGTTAAGATTGATAAGAAGCAAATTTATATGTTGTACAATATGTTTACTTTTCATTCATTGTACCTATGTTTAAGTGACACCTTGTTCTGTTAATTATTAATTATTTGAAATAAAGTTACAGTTCTGTTCTAATCAAAATGATTTATTTTACTTATTACTATCTCCCAATGTAATGGCACGGTAGCATACATCACGGATATTATTTATAAAATAAATATAATTTATAGGCGATCGAGACCTATAAAAACTCATAAAGTAACATTTGGAAATATTAAGACTAATGCCCCATTTCTGACACCAATCAAATAAAATATTCAATTAATTTTGTAAAGTGATACAGTCATTGATAGAGGAAACATGGGTAACAGAAATTGAAAATTGCTGAGAACTGAGGTGATATCATTAATAAATATAAGAAATAAGAGGGGGGATAAATGTCCTCCCTTCCTGCAGGTTATCAGATAAGACTAGTGTTATAGTGAAGAAAAACTTTGTATTCTAGTGAATTGAGATCTATTAGTTAAATATGATTTAACCATATAGTAATAAATCACCAAAACCTGTTAAAGCCCGGTTAAGTACAAGAAGTATTACACGGTCGAAGGCCTTTTCAAAATCCATAAAAATTACATTAGGTTGACTATTTTTCTTTAAAGGACTTCAAAATACAATTTTGAAAAGATAAATACATAATAAAATAATAAAGTAAAAATAAAATTATTAAAATGGTTTACAGTCTCGCTCGCGATGTCTTCAACGCACGTGTGTTAATATCTTCAATTAATATTTTCACTTTTTTTTGTTTTAAAAAATCCAATATCATCCAAGATATTCGTATCTAGTATCAAAGAAATTGGAAAACTGGCCTGGATACCTTCCATTTTCATATCAAGCGTATTACAACTGTTTTATCCAGAAATTCACAAAATTCGGTTATTTTAATTGCTCATCATCAAGGTACGTGATAACCACTAATCGTTTTCGTCGTTATCACTCAATTATCTACATTATTGCTAGTGCAATAACACAAAATGAGCCAAAATAAATTACAATAAACAAATACAAACAAAAATAAACCAAATAAAACGAACTCTATGTCCAATCGCATACAGAGTGTATCAAGTGATGTTTTCAAAAAATCGACAGAATTCTCTGATAATCAAGATTTTCCAACAGTCAAAGGCTCGACTAAACGAAATATCTCATCAGGAGATCCTCACAACACAAATAATAATACAAAATTAATAATAATAAACCTATATTTGCAACAACAAATAAATTTTCTTGCCTCACTGTAGATATATATATATATATTTCGTATGAGTAGAATAACAACTTTAAACATATAAATATTAACAGACAACTATACTAAATGAACTAACTTAAAATAGAATAAAATAAATACAAATAAAACTAAAAATAAGCTAAACTATACATAACATGAATTACGTTAACAGTGATAATGATATTAGTGTTACGGGCCGTAACATTAGGGACAGTAAGACAAATAGAAACTATTGTAGCTGATAGATATTTGAAAATATAGATTATAATTTAATGTCCAGATTTCATATTTAATCAAATACATCCCTATTAGCTGTATGGATATGCAAAGTGCCTTTGAATGTGCGGGTCGGGCATTCAGTTGCTATATGGAATTGGTTTTCGTATCGTATCCACAGACACAGGTAGGAGTAGTATGTAGTTTCCGGAAGAGGGTGACTTCCGTGTTTTATGGATTTGGTTTGAGTCTTCATTGGTTGTAGAATTTAAGTTATATGTCAAGGTCCTCAGACAAGATGTTTTTTAGGCGTTCGAAATCTTTACCCTGACAAACTAGGGCTAGGTCATCAGCATACATAAATTAAACTTCGTTCCCATCACCTATTATAATTCATGGGATAATTTAATTTTTCCTCCTTTGGGAAAATTTACTAAAATTGATTAACTCAGATAGTTTTGTATTTAAATCATCTGCTGAAAATTTAAAAATTCAAACGCTAAATTTCGACTCATATAGAGCGGTTATTAAATTTCTGAATGAACAAGTGGCTGAATATCACATATACCAACCACGAGAAAACAAATTTTTTTCAAATAGTTATCGGAAATATTCACCCTTCCACCCCAACAAGTGAGATAAGAATCGCCATCCAGGAAATTGGTTTCATAGTTAGACAAGTTGTAAATATTCGTCACTAAATTACCAAAGTACCCCTCCTATAATTTTTCGTTGATTTAGAACCAGCGGAAATTAACAAAGATATATTTCATATATCATCCATTCTTCACACAAAAATTAAAATCAAAGAACCTCACAAACGTCGCGAAATAATACAATGCATGATTTGTCAAAAATATGGCCATTCGAAAAGATATTGCTTTCATCCACCTTGCTGCGTCCGATGCGCGGGCATTCATTCGTCTTAAGTGTGTACAAAACCTTTAGATGAATTTCCAATATGCGCTCTCTGCGGTGGAAGTCATTTGGTAAACTAACGCGAATGTATAATTCATACAGATTTACAAAAATCGCCCAGTGGTTCAAAAACTAAATGATAAAAAATGTATACCCAAATAGTTTTGTAAATAAGGGAGGGATTTCTGATGATAAACAACCTTCGGATCCGCCAAATTTAATATTAATGACACTAAAGCATTCTGAAATCTTTCTAAAAATAACCCTCTCTGTGGTACCTTGGGCGAGGTGTGCATTAAATAACTAACGATACTTAGTTAACACAATTTCTTTATTTATAATTAATTAATTAACACTACATAATACCAGAACTAAAAGTACACATCTTATGTCTTTACGTTAACAAAGCATATATCTCTTTTAGATTAAGTTAACCTTATCACTTTATTACACTTACAATTACCGTCAAAACTTTAAATTAAAGTTAAACACAGATATAAATACATCTGATATCCCAACAGAAAATAGTTCAATAACTCAATTCTCCTCCTTCTTATCAGTATTAAAATTAATAATTAATCCCTTAATTCAACTCCTAAATTAATATTAAAAAACGATAAATAGACAAATAAATATTAACTCTCGTAATAATTAATTTAGTTTTTACTAAACTAAGTTTTGGAAAAGCTTTCTCACATGAACATGTTAAAATAGTTTTAACGTTTTGTAAACATTTATAAAATGTACAATGACTGATAATTTTTCCAACCATTTATGTATGATATTATTCGAAGTTCCTTAATCAAAATCTGGAATAGCACGAATTAATCTAAGTTTACCTTCAAATTCATCTCTATGTAAATATTTTTAGTTAAAATATCAATATCTGAACTTTCTATTTTATACTGCATCATACGACTTATAGAATTTATATTTATTTTCTAAACCATTAAATAGATCATCTAATACAACATAGTAAACAAAAGTTTTTATTTCACTCTTTTTATCTAAACTTACTTAACTAATCCAAATAATCATGTAACCTATAGAAAATATTCCTATATAATTGTATTAACGTAACAGACATAACTTACCAGTTTTTGTTTGTTTGGACGATGAAGGTTTAAAAAAAACTATGTAAGGTTGTTGACTTGGATTTACGTGACATTTTTAACTTCTTTATAGTTTATGTTAAAATGCACTAATAGATCACACTCGACACACCATAAAATTATTATCTCACGGTACAGTGCCAACTGCCATGGAGATTTATTGTTTATAACACCAGTCAATAGTCACAAATATATGGTGTATTATAATCACAACAATTCTGTTAGTAGTGTGTGCTTCACCACAATTTGCATATTTTGGTTTTGATTTTTTTGACTTTTGGCAGTCTTCTGTACTGTTATCTTCATCATATTTAACACATACAAATTTTTTATGGCAATCATTTTGGGTATGCCCATAGGACTGATAGTTTTTACACTGTAGTACATATTTTTTCTTCCTTGATGGCTCAATTTTAATTTTATGGTAGCATAAACTGTCTATATTGTAAATATCTTTATTATTAGCTAGGTTCACAAAGAATAAAGGTAATTTCATCCTCAACCATTCGCTATTTTTGTCTTTTGGATTCAACTTCTTTTTTATTTGTATATTAAAAATATTACTCATAGAATGACCTAAATCGGCTAGATCTCTTTTGATTTTGCAAATTTCAGTTGTAATCCTCGAATTACAACACGAAATTTTTTTTTGGCTTTTTTCGGCTGTGATACTTAATATTGTTTTCTTCTAGAACCTTTAATGTTCGTTTGAACTGATGTTCATCTCCTGTCAGGATTTTTATGTCTCCATTAGTATTGGTTTTCAGCTGCTGCTCATGACCAGCGATTTCTTTTCGAATTAAACTCACCACTAGTTTTTGTATATTTTGGACACAACAAGCCATAATCGGTGGAGGTTTGTATAATGTAGGTACTTTTTTAATGAACTTTTTTTCTGTCACTTTCACGAATTTTGTTGACTAGTTAAAACTAGCATCTTAGCTAGGACCCGGATTATCAGATTTTTTTTATAATTTTAGTAGTAGTATTAGGGGTAATACTCGAAGTTCCGACAATTGTTTTTGTAATTGTTTATTGTTCGCTTGTAATTCAGTTACTTTAAGTAACTGAAGTAAGTAGTTATTTAAACCAGAGAATGTTGGTCAATGTTTTGATATATTTGCATATGTGTGTCTATTACGAAAGACGGCCGCCTCAGCTAATGATATTAATTGATAGAAAAATGTTTCTTATAGGATTCATTGTAACCATGATGAGTACTTTGGAAATTGCTTATAAGCTACTTGGTAGACCTCAGAGCCTTCTGAAATACATTCTTACTAACAAAATGTCTCAGGACCATCTTGAACTTTTTTTTGGTTGTATTCGTTCAAGAGGAAGTTCTAACAGTAATCTGAATTGCATTCAGTTTAAAAAAATACTAAGAAAATTGTTATTTACCAAAAATATAACCGTAGAAAGTGGAAATCATTCAAATTTTGTTGCTTTTGGTGGTGATGCATTAGATTTCTGGAAAAAATGCATTATAAAATCTAACAACAACTTAGATGAAACAGAAATTGATAATTGTGTAGATGTTCTTTCAAGTATAGAGTTAATAGGATATACTAATGAAATAATTATAATGCTGGATATATTGTCAAAAGTATTTACATTGAAGTTATGTGTCCTTACTGTATTGATATATTATTATAAGATGATAATATAGATCATAGCTATGTAAAACGTGCAAATTTTACATCTTTTGTAAATTGAAAATTGTTTCATTAGCTGTATCAAATATTATTCAAGAGCTTGAAGAATCTTTTCAAGTTGTTGTTATAAATAAAAAATTTCATAACAATGTGAAACAAAACGTTGTGATGTTAGCAAAAACAAATATATTAAATAAAAGTACTCTATATTTTTTCCCCAATTCACACTTCACACACCATTAATGTCAATATTGGTTCCCCAAACCATAAGTGTACCCTCTTCACTACACTTAGTCAAGGTTTTGTAAATATAATAATGTGCCATTATACCAAAGAAATAAATTCTAAACAAGTTTTTAAAAATAAATCATCATTAAGACAAAAATTAATTTTATTTAACAATGTTAAGACTATAAAACTGTTCATTAAAGGTACAAATTATTTCAAATTATTTGTGTTATTTTATATAATTTATATTTTGATTGGATTTATATATTTTAGTATATGTAAATGTATGTAATAATATAATATGTTATTAATATTTTTATAGTAAATAATACATATTTACATTTTTTATATTTTATAAGTGTATACTTATAATTCTGCTATTAAAAATATATTTCATATTAAATTGTTTTTATTGGTTCCTGATTTAATTATTTTTAAACATAATGATACTTACTATTGTTATACCGTACAATAATATGGTTATAGCGTCATAACTTTTAGTTGTCCTGCAGTGGTGGGGAAACATTCGAAAGTGTCAGCATGCTTTGTTACACGCAGTGTGCACTCCAGTATAATTTATATACCTTAATGAATACAGATTGTACATTTCCTATAAAAAAAAAAAAAAAAACTAGATTTTATAAATAATAATATTCAAAACTTATTAATATTAATAAAATCTGATAACAAAATAGAGGCTCAACACTTACATCCATTCATAAAATTACATAAACAAGATAATCTAATTTGTTCATTAATTAACTTTAAAACTGCTCTAGCTTATAACCTTGCTATATATTTAGACTCTCTTATAAAAGAAAAATTAAACAAGAATACTGATACTTATAAAAAACACTTATGATTTTATTGATAAAATTAATATTATGCCATGATACAAAATGATTTCTCTTGACATTAAAAATGTATATACATCCATTACCAAACACGAAACAGTAATTTTTTTTAAAAATAAACTTAGATATTGTAATAAATTTAATACAAACGAAGTACAAGATATTATTCAATCAATAAATGTATCTGAAATTTACATGCAAAATTATGAAACCAATAATACTATTAATAATAAAATATTACAATCCATACACAAAAGCATATTATAGATATGTTGATGACACATTCATTTTATTTAGAGGATCACATAGACAAGCTGAAAATTTAGTTAACTACTTAAACAAAATAAATAAAAACATTCAATTTACACTCGAAATACAAATAAATAACAAATTTAATTTCTTAGGTCTTACAGTTTCTATACTAAATTTGATTTTAGTATTTACAAGAAACCTACACAAACTGATTCTATAATACCACACAATTCTAATCACTCTTATTCTCAAAAAATAAAATTCTTTAATTCAATATTCTACAGGCTTTAACGTATTCCGTTAAATAAACATAATTATTAACACAAGTTCAATATTATCTATAATATAGCCCATAGAAATAATTTAAATTTAAATACTATTAAAAAAATTCATAAACATATTAAAGACAAAATAATACACAACTCACCAAATAATGTTAACTATTGTAGTATGAAATATCAAAATAATATGTCTAATGAATTTGCTAATATTCTGAACAATAATACTTTTATATAATATTTTATACTCATAGTGTAAAATTTGCTTTCAAGACTAATAATAATTTAATCAAACATACAAACAATAGAACTAATAACTTCACAAAAAATCCTCTTTCTTTTGAAAATGCTGGTATGTATATACTTAAATGTAACTGTAATACATTTTATACAGATAAGACAAATAGAAATTTTAAAATAAAATATAAAGAACACATTTCTGAAATAAAATTTAAAGACTGCCCCTAATTCAAATTTCGCTAAACATGTTTTAGAAAAAAACCATAATATAAGTTCCGATATTATACAGACTAAAAAATATTGAAGACCCAAAATAACATTTACATTACTTCAGTTTTTGAAGAATTACATATATTATACAATTAAATAAAGAAAAATCATTTTAATAATATTTTAAAAGTAAAAACTAATTCTAAAAATAATATCTTATATCAATAGATTTTAGATAAAAAAAAAATAACCAAATTATTTTTACTTCTTAACATATCTATGTCTAATAATAATCTATTTTAAATAATCTCTCCTATTAAATTAATTGATTTCTATGTATAATGACCATTTTGTATAATTTTTTTTTTGATGTATTTCTTCATTTAATTTTTAACATTTAGTCGAGTTTTACATTTTGATTATGATATACCTGATGATAAATTTTTAATTTGAAACCGGTCGTATAATACACTTATTATAATACTTCAGGTGACGTATTTAGTTATTTATCTATTTTTTTTAATTTTGTACATACTTTTTTTATTTATATATTTATAAATTAAATATCATTGTGGAGCTGCCTGTTCTAAATCCATGTTGTCTATGGTAAAGGACATTATTAACCAATTTTATAATTTTATTGAAAACTATTTTTCAAGCAGTTTCCCAATCTGCATTATTAACTACAACTGACAAGTAGTGACAACCAACAATAGACCATATTTGGAAAGAGATAGTTCTAATAATAGGTGTGGTAATAATTATGACTCTTATCAAGAGAAAAAGGAAACCAGATATCAATGTGATAATAGGGATGGTTTATCCAGCTACATAGGTGGTAATAATATTGATGCATGACTATTATAAAGGTCAAAAATAGACTTAAATATAAATATAATAACAGGGATGATCTATTCAGTTACAGAGGTGATAACAATTATGGCTCTTATCAAGAAAAAGTTGATACTAAATAACAAAACAACAGGGATAGTCACAGTCTTCAGTTACAAACATAATAAACTCATAAATAGAAGGTAATGCAAATACTATTATTTTTTTTTTTTATTATTTTAGAAGACATTTATTATCATATCAATACAATATAACACACAAAGTATTAATAAAAATAACAAAAATTACCTACATCTTTAGTCAAAGCTTGAAGTGGTGTAGGCAGTTATAGTGCATGTGAGATAACAAATTTAATTAAGTTACAAATAATAATAAAAAAAGAGAAAAATAGAGAAATAGAAGTAAAAACTTAATACTACCAAATTATAAACATTTACACATTTTATTAAATAATACATTAATGATATATTTCTTACTATTAGTATTTACATAAAAAATATATTTTTTAACATCAATGAGTAAAGAATTAAAATTTATCGGATCCAGATAATTTATGGATATTTTACCAAAATTTGTATTTGTGTAAAGCATTTTAATATTAAATAATCTTATATCTATAAATATCTTCCTTTGTGAGATTATCATTTTGCTTAAAAATAAAACACTTGCTTTTTATAAACAAACATTACAGTATTTTTTTTGCAGAGCAAATCAAGCGGAAGCAAGTTCAATTTTTTATAATTCAAATGAGTAGACCCATGGAGATTGTCCTTCTTTAAACATAAAAGAATTATACTATTTTACTGAACCCTTAAAGAATTAAGAATAGTTTTTGATGCACCACCCCAAATTACCAAACTACACTGAATTATAGATTAGTACAAAGATAGATAAACTATTCCCAAAGTAGGCAAAGAAATTATGTATTTTAACTTATGAAATTGAACATAATAGAACGTGATTTAACTGTTAATCTATTAATATTAGTATTCCATTTAAAATTGCAATGAAATAAGTCTAAGTATTTAATACTTTTAACTATGTTAATTTTCGAGCAGCAACAAAAAGATATGTTAGAACAATTGTGTTTATTGATTTCATTAAACAGCTGTAAAATATTATTTATAGAAAAACACATCAACATAGTTTTGTTAATATTTAAAGAAAAATTACTTAACAAAAATATCGGACAATAATTGCACATATTCTCTTTATCACCTCCATTATGCAAAGGTTTAATTATCGCGGTTTTAAATTTATCTGAGAAAACACCATATTGCAGACTTAAATTAAATATATGTATATTAAATATGTTTGTAAAAGGATGTATTATTATATATTTTTCAATATTTTAACATTAATTTTATCAAAACCGCAGGCTTCATTATTTTTAAACTATTTATGGTCATAACTTTAGTAGGATTAATTTTAATTGAGAAATTTTTTTTGAAAGAAAAATTTGTTTTGCATTTTTACATGAAATTAGCTTAATTATTTATTTGGATGGGAAAGATGCCCATTTAAATGAAAATAATATGATTGGTAGTGTAACAATTGTCTAAATTAAAATCTTAGTTACTACACCTTATTAAATAGGTAATACATTTTTAAAATACATTAACATTGTTAAATTAAACTTAATTACAATATAAATACATACAAATACATCAATTATAAATGTAAAAGAAGTGTTAAAACTTAAATGCAAAGATGTCTTGTATGTATCTATATAAATGTTTTGTTTTTTGCTATCAAATAAAACTGAATTTATGTTAAATAAAAAAAAAATTTAATATTTTCAACATCTTTTTTTTTTTCGTTGATGTAGGAAAAATAAATTGAAAATTAACTTTTTTTTTTAAAAAAAAATATTAGATGGTGTTATGAAAAAAAACATGTTAAGGATTTTTTAGAATTAAGTTTAATGGCGATGACGTCTGATCTCAGATACTGACTTGGTTTGCAAATGTTGAGTAACAGGTGGTGAATCAGATGTTACCATTGTCGATCTTCGGGTTTGTGTTCTTACTGGTCTTGCAGAACCAGGATCAACACTATAACGTGATCTTGATTGTAATGGTTGCATAACATCATACCTTGAATAATTATCCATTGGTACCAAAGGAACTTTGGGCAAATTTGTAAAATCCTTTAAACTACTCTGATCAGCTTGGGCCAGACTATTTAGAGGTACAACATAATTAACAGGAGAACTTCTATCTTGCATCACACGTCTATCTTGATGCAAACCATATTTTTCATCATCAGATCCACTGTATGGAGCACTATTTTCCTCAGACTTAAACTTAGTCCAATCAAAAATATAATCATAGTCAAAACCTTTAAAATCAAATAATTGCTTAAATAATTGTCTTAAATAGGTAAAATCAGGTGTTTCAGTAAATTTCATTGAACGGCAGTACAACAAATATGATAAAAATTCATTTGGATATCCTTGGCATAAAACTTCAAATGGAGTATTAATTTTTTTTTCACTTATACGTTCATATTTTTGTTGTCTAGTCTGTGCTCTTAAACCTTGCCATGGCAAAGAGCCACGAAGAAAGTACATTAACATATAACCAAGAGACTCTAGATCATCTCTTCGACTTTGTTCTATTCCTAAATGATTATTTATAGAAGCATAACGAGCAGTTCCAATGAGATTTTTGTTCTCTCGATACACTATGTGTTCATTGGTCACATTATCACAATATGTCTTCGAGAGTCCAAAATCTATAATGTACACCATATATCCACGTTTTCCCCAACCCATTAAAAAATTATCAGGTTTGATATCCCTGTGTATCAAGTTTTTACTATGAATAATCTCAATTCGATCCAGCAATTGATCAGCTAATAGTAGTACAGTTTTTAATGAAAATCGTCTGAAACATGAATTAAACAGATCCTCCAATGATGGTCCTAATAAATCCATTACCATAAAGTTGTATTTGCCCTCAGAACCAAACCATTTTACTGCAGGTATTCCGCGTAATTTCGTGAGCTTGTTGTAAACTAAAAATTCTGTATGTAGTTTGGGATATCGCGTGTTTATAGGTTCTAATTTTATAGCTACTTGTTTTTCAGTATAAATATTTTTACCCACATGGATATCACCAAACGATCCAGAGCCAATTTTCCGTCCCAGCTGGTATTCATTGCCAATCATCATTTCCGTCGCTCGTTGATCATCTAATACACTCAACATTTGGAACGGAGTGATGGCGGTAACAGCAGCAATAACGACGATAATGATGACGATGACGACGTGCTCGGTCGAACCTGTGTTCGGTCAGCAGTGCAGGATGAATGCTGTGTCGTTGACGAAACGCGAGACGATTGCAGCGGTGGCGGTCATCATTGTCCAGTCCATCCAGCACAACGACAATGGTGAGCAGCGGCCATGTTGATTATTGATTATTTGTTGACTTGTCTTCCAGTAGTTGTAGCAGCTCAACGCCCGTGTAATAGTGCGTGCGTGTTTGTGACAAAAGAGTTGCAAACACTAAACTATATACTAGTTTATAGTTCAGTGGTTGCGAAAGAGGAATTAAAGCCTTATTTCCAACTGAAGGTTATGCTACTTTATTTTACTACAATTCGATTCACATAAAAGGATGATATAAAGTGCATGGGTTACAATGTCTGAGCAATATGTAATATTGTGAGGTTAACAAATTACACCTTATCACTTACAATTACTATCACATTCTCCATAACTGTTTAAAAAACATGACTGCGACGTTTTTTTTTTTGAAAACTTCAGTTGCCTGCTATGGGATTTCAATTGCGATCTCAGATGGTATTTTTTTTTTAAAAGTGAGATCTTTTTAAGAATCTCATTTATTAGGATTTTTGTGGAACTTTTAAATCATACTCTATACAGTGTATCCACTACACGCATCTAAATCCGTATATTTTTGAAGGAGTTATGTTGTTTTTAAATATGTATTTTTACAATACAAATATCATAACATATTAACATATATTGATAATTATTATTATTATTATTATATGAATATATTAAGAAATATTTAATATAATTTATATTTCAAGTGTATTTTAATTTTTGGTAACGTGACTGATAAAAAATAACACGTTCTATGATTTTAAACCATTACCACATGTTCAATACAATGACCTGTGTATTGAAGGTGTGTCACCTGTATACAACCTGTGTAGATTAGTGAAAATTGTAATTTTATACAACTATATTGATAAAATTATTAGTAAATGATTATATATAAAAATAATATTTTTATGGAATCTCAATTCCCTCAATCTCTTATTTTGAGATCTCATATAGAATCTCAGTTAAAAGTTTTTTTAAAGGGTACCTAGCAATCAAAAAATCAATCCTCAGTACCATTAGACACAATATGGGATCTCACATCCTAAAAATCCAAAATCCTGTATTAACTCATTATTTTTGAATCACTAACATAATTGTTTTTCATAATCATTTTTCAAAAAGTTTGCTCTAGAAACTCATGGCAGGGAAGAAAATGTTTGTAAGATACCAAATCGGGTTTCATAGCAGCCAAGTTGTTAATAAAGTATATAATTTAAGTAACTATCTTAAATAACAATAATAGTAAAGCAAACAAATAAATAATAATTAATAAGAATAAGAGTAATGAATAGGTTGATCTTGGAATCCACTTGCAATTATGATTTACAGTGGCCATAGAGTGGAGGGCCAATTGGTTTTTGGAGGAGTTGAAAGAAATAGTAGTCGTTTTTTACTTCCTTAACGCAATCAAAATTGATTATTAAAAATTAAATCAGGGACTCCGATTATTGGAAAGTTGGTATAATTTCTTTTACTACAATGAATTTGAATTTTTTTTTTATTTCAGTTACTAATTCAACATTAATTTTCAAATAATAGGTTTATAACTATTTAGAGATAGAAGGGTTTCAACAATTAACTGTAAATCATTTTATCGAATTTAAAAACCCCGATAATGATGCACACAAATAACGTGAAGAGTAACTATGTGGAAACACACAAAGGCATCTCTTTCACAGTATTGTAGAAAAAAAGATTTTTCACAGGGTACATCTAAAAATAACTCTTTATTAAATTTAACATGTATACATTGCTCACCAAATTTATCATAAAATCTTTTTATTGATAACGTATAAAATTATTTAAATAGAATCTCTGTAAAAGAGTCAGTTATTTTTTGTGGAGACATAAATATTAATTTACAGTTGGATACTGTTGATACTATTAGTTATCTAAATGTCTTATTGGAAAATGGTTTTTAATCATGCATTAATAATGCACTAGGTGCAACATATTTAATAACTCGTCATCTTGCATAGATTATATATTTTGTAAAGATAATGTAAGTTTTAAAAGTATAAAGGAATATGTGTGTAAAAATACTATAACTGATGACTATACTGTAATTATCACTTCAAATAAAATTAAAGATAAGAATATAAACTTTGAAGAAATTGCTGAAAATAAATAGGTTGAACATATAAATTTTGATTGACTTAAACAAGTGTATAAAGAGGAAACATGGTCTGATGTTTTTAATGCAAGTAATATCAATGATGTGAATAATTCATTCTTTTATAAATTAAATAATGCAATTATTTGTCTACAACTACCAAACAATTTCATCAATCTAAATTTAAGTATAAAATTAAAAAATGGATCATTACAGATATAATTGTATCGATGTGGCATAGAGATAAAATGTTAAATAAAATTAAAAAACAACCCTTCAATACTAAACTCAAATCTAGCTATAAATATATAGAAACCTATTAACTAAAATTATTAAATCCGGGAAAAATATGTTTTTTTATAATAAAATAAGTAAAGCACAATGAGATTCAAAAAAAATTTGGAATTTAATAATAGAATCAATAAATTACAAAGATAATAGAAAAATTCCAACTAATGTTGTAAGATAAACAAAATCTTAATAATGTAATCCATGAGAGTAAAGATATTCCTAATACATTTAATAACTTTTTTTACAAATGTAGGTTAAAAAAATCGCCAAAAAGATTAATTTAATTTTATCACCAATTAGCACTATAAATAATTCTGATTCCAAATTTAATATAAACTCTAATTTTCTTAAATCTAACCTAACCTCTAAAGAAGAAATTAAAAATTATATTCTTAATAGTAAAGAAAACAATTCTTTTTATATATATGGGCTCACAAATTAAGTTTTGAAACAAATTATTGATTACATTTTCAAGCTTTTAGAATACCTGTATTTTTAATTTATTATTAACTTCTGGAATTTCCCATAATGCTCTTAAGGAAACTACTATAATTCTACTTTTCAAAGTGGAAAATTAAAATATTTGTATAAATTATCGCCAATATTTCTTACTTATACTCTAGATAAAGTGCTAAAAAATTTTTAAAAGCAAGATAATAAGGATTTCTTAAAACATCAAAAAATTTGCTCTGATAATTAATTTGGGTTCGGAAAAATAAAAAAAACCTAAGCGCTACAAAATATTGTAAGCTATATCTATAAAAAAACATGATGACCCTCATTTTGTAGTGATTTTGTGTGATTTTGTAATTGGTATTTTTCTTGATGTTAAAAAAGCCTAATTAAAATAGTCCGAGGGAACGATGGCTTGGGTCTTTAGGTACATTTAAAATTTGTTTTTTCCTTGTTTAAATAAAAGGGGAAAAAAAAATGTAAAAATTCTTTTCGAAACACGGGTTCGAACTCGCGAATCCTAGGATGTAAACAGGTATGTATTATCATTTGGCTACGACAAACATAATTTAGAAAATACAACATATAGTTATTTAACTTAACATATAATATATCTGCATACTATCAGAACTTTAAAAAGCTATAATTTCAAAACTCAGTCAGTCCGCTCAATTCCGACTTCACCACATTGGTATCGTTCTTAAATTGGCAATATATTAAGTTCGAAAAAAAAAAAAATTGAAAAATTAAATTTATTACACATCATTTTTTACACAACGATTTTCGTCAAAAATTTGATATTAAAATTCTTTTATAAAAAAAAATACTACATTAAACTGTTTTAATTTAAAATTTTAACAAAATAACAAAAAAACAAAACTGAAAAATAATTAAAGCATTATCTTCATAAATTTCTCGTTTTTCTTACGTTTTATCCAGATATTATGAAAACAGCTTTGAAAATAAAAAAAAAAACCTCCTAAAAGTACCACCTGTACAACATTACCTTTCAAAAATGATGCCACGCTTACATATCTGAACAAGATTTCTGGTAGAATTTTTGTATTTACCACGAATTTCTAATACATAGGTACAGCTGTTCCAAACTCCAAGCGGAAGAGTCAATTTAGGTTTTTTCATGGCATGCAAAACCTACCTAAATACTAAAAATTAAAATCAACTTGAAATCCTTTCGGGCATCATATTAATCACGAAATCAATAATTTCCACACTTAACTTTTTTTTCCAATCATCACTAATTCAAATGTGTAATACAATTCGAAAACGTACTTCAAATTAATTTCAATATTGATTATTTATTTTACAATATTAAGTAATCAGTGCTGTAGTCACAAAAAAACAGAGGGTATACTATAAGTTATAACTATGGCTAGGTAAATGATGCATTAAAAACCTACAATAAAGACATTAAAAATGTACCTATAAAAAAAATGCATTTTAACCATGAAAATGTTACTAAAAAATGACTAAAATGTAAAAGTTCAGTTGATAATAATTTTTAAAATCAAAAAATAATTAATTAATCAACAAATTTGTGTATATTAAAATTAATTAATTCTGAGAACACCTAATACAATTTAATACAATTTAAAATACAATTTAATATCTATGGAAAACAAAAAAATAAAAACTGTTTTTATTACATTTTAGGTACCTGTTTATTAAATAAATTTAAAATTAATATAAATACTTTAACATATTATGTATAATTTGCAGTATGGGTTCTTTCACTTAGCATTATTATTTTGAATTCATTTTTGTAATAAACAGAATCATTCTAAAACAAAAATTAATTAATAATTAGAAAAACTTAAACATTTAATAATAATTTAATATATACATACCATTTCACTAACATCTCTATTGTTGCACTGGACTACTATAGTCTGTCCCAAGAGAAAAAGGTCCGCTTCTGCGCATGTTTTCCCCTTCCACATAGCCGATTGTCATTTCTTCCGTCGTCGGTTTATGACTATACACCGCTAGGATATTTTGTAGAAATTCAATTGTTATTATTATCAGACATCGCGCATCGCACGTTTATTTACCTTTGCTGTTTTATAACCTCTTGATAATTTTTAAAATCGTAAACTATCGTATATACAAGCACCTTCTATAATAATCCAGACTTTGTTTTTTTTTGTATACATATTTATTTATTTAATATCTTATTGAACACTGTAGGTATAATTCAGTAGGTATAATACAGAGATATATATTTAATAAATAATAAATAATTATATTAAAACATTTCATTTTTTATTCGTTAAAATTACAATTTATCATTTTTGTCATATTGGCGATAAACAGTGGACTATCGACAGACAACAGTGCATTATTTGAAACGCAGTGTACAAAACCTGTCGATAGATCCGGGAGAGAATAAATGGATAGTGTTGCGGCGTGGGGATGCGCAGTAGCGCTTCGATTTGGTCGGAGAGCGGACCGTTCTCTCCTGGGACAGACTATAGGTCTCCCTCAAATTTTCAAACAAAAATGATCTTTCAACGTCTATTGATGCTATAGGAGCAAGTATCAAATAAGTCGTATCATCGAGATTTAAATCTTCTGGTAATTTCAATTTTGACACTTCCTCACCGTTCAAAATTTTTGAGACTGTACATTAGGGTGGTCCTTAGTTGTAGAAGATAAAAAAAAATATTATTGTTTTTATTGCTGGATCCTCCCATTTTTTTTATAATCATATAAAAGTTATATGTAAAAAAATTGAGCATAATTACTCATCCCTTTCCCGTGCCCCAAGAGACTTAAATATAGGACAGAGGGTAGTTAAACGGTTTTTTGTATTTTATTCGAAAACCATAAGATTTATCATAAAAATGTATTGAACTTAAATTGTAGAATAAATTAAGTACTATTAAAAATGTTTTTACAAAATTTTCGTAAATCTATTATGCTATATAATAAATAATAAAATATAAAATATTTAATTTATTTGGGAAAATTCATCACCTTTTGAAATTATTTATATATTATTATTAAATTTGGTCTGAAATAATTATTATCATGGGAATATTGTACCTTATATTGTTAATACCTATTTTATTGAGTCCATTAACTCAGTTATCTTATAGATTATTAGATATTACGATTTATCTTTAAATAGTTTCCATAGAATTTATGAATATTATTTGTTAGTCAACCCGTGATCGTCGTAACGTCATGTGCTGTATATGATATTAATGATATTTTATTGTTTCTATTTAAAGTTAAGTTTTTAAATTGTTTTTTGTATTTATTAAAATAAAATTGTCGACGTTTGTTAAAAATGCCACGAAAGACAATATATTTGATTGGATCAATGGATAATCAAATTCTCGGCAGTAAACTACCTACACTAAGGTACTATATGAAAGTTTTATTTTTTAATATGCGAATAGTGAAAATGAATTTGTCAGAAAGTGCATATTTAGCTATTGATGAATGTATCATATTCTGGAAAAAAGCACGAATTCCAATTAAAGATCGAGCAGATTGCATGAAGAAATTAAAAAAGTCGTATGAATTATGGCGAAATCTCGAAAAACATAAAGAACGGAAAAGCGAAACATATACATCTCAAATTAAAGAGTTTGAAAAAAAATTAGACAACTTATTTGACATAGCACATGCAAATGCATTTAACATAATGAACATTGAAATTGATAAAGAATTTTTACGTTCACAANGTAGCTATCTATTCATTGATCATATTATAAATTATTTTACTATTATATTATAGTTGAAACACAGGCATTCACTAGTTCAGAGGAAGAGGAGGACATAGAATGTAGTATTAATTCAGAATATGTTTGAAGTTAGAAGACGTGGATGAATTTTTAAATAAAGAACTACCTGTAAATTTGTTAAGTTACAAGTCGTATAAAATATTTAAAAGATTCGGAATTTCTTCGGAGTACCTAAAAATGAACCCAACTAAGTGGAATGATAATCTTGCATACCAGTCGGCAAAAAGGACAATAGATTCGTTACAAATTGTTAATGATACAGCTGAAAGGGGAGTAAAGCTTATGGAGGATTTCAACGATAAATTTTCTAAAAATGAAAACCAAAACAATTTTTACTTCAAGTGGGTTACAAAAAATTATATCTGTAATAAATGTAATTTTATATAACTTATCTTATTATGTATTTAATTTTAGGTTATTCAAAAATACAGAAAAACATATAAAAATTGTACAAGACAAGTTTTGAATACACCATTTGAAGATAAAACTACTTAGTACTTAGAAATACACCTTAAACTATTTCGTTTATTATTACATAAATATTATTAATATTATATATTGAAACCACTGTAAAAAAATTAAATTTTGTGAAAAAACCAAAAGAATTAATTTTTAAGCAGGAAATATTAGATTTACGAAAAATGTTGTAAATACATTCTTTATAGAAAATAATTTGTTCTACAATTATGGTTCAATACATTTTTATGATAAACCTAATATTTTTTGAAGAAAATATAAAAAACAATTAAACTACCCTTTGGCTAATATTCAACCCTTTTGGGGCACGGGAAAGGGATGAGTAGTTATGCCCAAATTTCTTCAATATAACTTTTATATGATAATAAAAAAAAATGGAGGGTCCAGCAATTAAATTTCAAAGGTGTGAAATTAAGGACCACCCTACTGTACATATTGACTTAAATCCAGTATTTTTTTCTAAAACTGTTTTCATTTTCAGTTGTACGGCCTTAACAATTTTGTTTTGTGCTTGTTCAATTTTTTTTGTAAATCCAAAAAAAATTTTATTGACTCAGACTTAGGACAGCCTGAATTTTCAATACGCAAAATAGCAATTGTTAATGCACTGAAATTTGATTTTATAAATGTTAAATTACATTCCAAATTAGTATCTTTAACTAAATCATGGACTGTTTTTTTGTTGAAATATCATCATCTTCATCTAATTCCATAACGACACGTTTAATTAATGAACAATTTTCATAATAATAAATCGCCGCGTTGACCAATGCACCTTGTAAGTATGGGCTCTGGAGGTAAAGGAGTATTTAGTACGATATTTCAAAAAATTTGTATTCGGGAAGGGGCTTTTATAAATATTTTTCTCATATTTGAAATCAGCTTATCAACTTTTAGAAACTGTAATCTAATTTCTTCGCATACTCGATGTAATGCGTGAGCTACACAAGTCATGTGTTTCATTTTGGGATTAAATGTTTTGGGAGATTTACCAGCGTTTACCACACATGATGCGATCCACTACATCCGATAAAAATAACAAAATGTTTTCACGCCTAATTCCTTCGGGCCATAAAAATAATAGCGACTTATCAAATAATCGACTTATTATATCGTAGTTGGCTTTATCTAAAACTTCCGAGTTTCGAAGAAATATTTTACCTTAGTTATCGATTTCTAAGGTGCCGATTATTACGTTTGCCACATAACGACCAGCTACATTTATCGTCTCATCGATGGATACCCATATTTTCTTTTCTGATGCATATGGTCTTATACAATATTATTTATTGTTTCTTCGTAGCATTCGCTAACACATTTCATACGCAACGTTGATTGATCTAGTATAATTTTATTTGTATACTTCGTCAGAAATGATCGAAAAGACGGTTGAGATAATTTAAAAAGTGGTATATTTGAGCATAATAGAGCCTTGCAAAGATCGTAATTGAAAATTGATGCTGTTGAAGGAGTGATGTTAATAGAGTCTGCAGAGTTGTAGATGTTTTTTTTTTCTATACCCAGAATATGTTTATCACGTGCAACATGCAGATGAACAGTAAATTTTTCTCAGCTGAAACTTTTACACCGCAGATTTTGCAATAAATTACTGTGCCGTCAGTGGTAAAAATATCATCGCCAAATTCACACACAAATGCGCGTAAACGACAAGCCAAAGGTTTCTTATGTTTAGGCATTTTAAAATAAAAACAATCGTCAACGTAACGACGTATTAACGACTACTAAGTAGTGGTTCCGCGACAATACGGGCCTTTCGGTAACACTAGAACATATGTAAACCCACCACCGAAATACTCATCTAAACAAGTCAATAAATATCGTACCATAATATTTTAATTCGTCCGAAGTCCAGACAGTCAACGTACTCATTACTCCCCACTCAGTCATCCATCACTTTGACAAATTCTAAGAAACTATTTTCAAAAATGTTTGCCGATAAGGCGATAATATTTCACTAGATACGAAAACACGAAATATATCTATAGCAATTTTACATTAAATTGATAAATACCTACGTAAATGTTCTACAAATGTCGAATATGCATTTAAAGCTATAAAACTGACACAAAAGGACCAAAAATTCAATCATAAATATCATAAAAAAAATGCAAAAATAAATTTTATATTTGACCTCGCTGACGTATGAATGGGATTTTGTATTTGATGAGCCATGTCCTGGAGTGCTATGAAAAAAAACGCAGATTCTACAAATTCCTAGCCATAATTATAATTATACCATTACTAAGTATAAGTGTTAAAATGTAAATTCTTCAAGTGCATTATCTAACCTAATGTTTTAGTAGAAGGATAAATAATAAATAATATAATATAATATAATATTTTCGTGATCGACCAAAAATTTAAATAATAATTATAATAATAATAATAATAATATTTTTATAATATATTTTGTGATTTCACTATGGTAGAGAGTATAAAACCGTAATAGAAGGTTTTTGTTCGGAATGGATCAGAAGGTATACGGTGTATACCCTCCACTACAGCCCTGTAAGTAATGTACAATACACAACAATATTACCTACTTCAGTTATTATCAGTCTATTATCAGGACAAACGATATATTATTATGTATATAGTATAATAAATTTGATAAGTTAAAACAAAATTATATAGGAAGTAACAACGCAACAATACTTAGGTAATTTATCTAAGTAGTAAATCCTGAATTTTAAACAATAAAAAAAACTCAACAGAATATTATAAAATTCGCAAATATGAAAGCATATATTGAATAGTACTTACATTAACGAAAATCTTCTAGGCGTTAATTTAGCAAAACTATCTTTATTCGATGGTCGGTACTACCAAAATTTTTCTTTTTCATAACCAGCTGTGTTGGGTAGTAACGTAAGGCCGCGTGCACATCGGAGAGCGTTGCGCGGTGAGCGATGAGTGACGAGCGGTGAGCAGTAGTGTGTATCAAACAGCTAGCGATTAGCGTTGTCTGCAATATTTAGTAGTCCTTCAGCCATCATTATGGCACTCTCCTCAAAATGTCTGCGTATTTTGTTACTACAAAATGCATTACTCCGAAAACGGTTTTTAAGGAAAAAACAAAAGCATTGGAGTTCGCGAAATGAACAAAAAACGAAAAACGCTAGGTGAGTTTTCATAATATTTATTGTGAACTAAGAAAAGATCGGGAAAGGTTTTTTTTTTTAATTTTATTACGCATGTCAATGGAAACTTTTGATTTTTTTGTAATCAGGGTGTCTCGATCACTCCACAAGAGAGGTCTTGATTGGATTTCGGAAATCAAAAGTTTTCGTTGCTCTATAGAAAAATTCACTTTCGAGCTCATGATGGTGTGTTAACGCTGGTCGACACCGCTCACAATTCGAGACGACTTGAAAAATAAACATCATATCGCGCACCGCGCATCGCCAACGCCCAAGGTCAGCGTACACGGTTCCGTTAAAATTCCCGTGTTTGATTTATTTTCGTCAACGCTCGTCGCTCATAGCTCACCGCGCAACACTCTCCATTGCGCACGCACGCAAATGGAAGACGTATAACATTGTAATGCGCCAGGATTGTTTACAAGCGACGAAAATGCAATGGAAATTAAGCGTGTGTTATAAACATTAGTGTTTGATTTTTGCGGTTCGAAACACGGCGAAATTATTTTTTATAGTACCCACTAACGATCGACAAATCTAAATAATATTATTATGATTATAGTATTATAGATTTATAGCCATTCGTGAGAAACAGAAAAACAGTTTATTTTTATAAATTATTATTAATGCACTTACCATCAATAAATGAACACGGTGCTATTTATAAATTATAATCTATTGTCTCAATTTTATTTTTATATAATACCTATATCTATTTATGATAATAAATATTAGGTAAGTAAAACACGAGCGAGAACTGCAGGTGTTATTCCACAATCGGTAAACGGTATTTCGGTGTACTGTCGTGTCGGATGATTAGTCGATGATCATTAGTCAGTCGTTCACATCCGTATTGTCTTAATGTTAAATAATATAATTATTCTTCAGTGGCACAACTTAAACTTATGTAAATGTGGATTACGATGAAAATATACTTATAAACTACCTTGGCCGACTAACGACAAGTATTTTACAATTCGGTCTCCAATTCTACATTCCGAAAACAGAAAAATTATTTATTTGAAATGTAAACTGTGTATGGGTAATTCTATGGCTAAACACATAGGTATGATCACAACTGTTTATTCCACAGCTTTTCACGGAGAGAAAATTCAGCTGGCAGTGATATTTATTACCAGTTAGATTGAAATAAAACGGGATTCACTGCCAGCGGCGGCTATTGTACCTGTGTATCACAAGGTTGTGATATATGTTGTCTATATATTTAGACATGGGTAATTCAAAAACCATTATCTAAGATAAGTTCGTTAAATTTAAAAAAGCATTTAAAAGTAAGTAATATTCGAATAAAAACTATATTTATATGGTACACAACTATGAACTAGTAACTACTTTACCAACCATTCTTTAATTATAATTTTTTTACTGCAATTTAAGCATTCCAATGTTTAAAAATGTACCTATCTAACAAAAATAATAGATACTTAATTTTTCTACTCTGATAAAGAGTAACAACTAACAAGCGATTCTTTTCGTCGATGCCACGACTCGCAGTAGTCATCTCAGAACTCCCTTTTATATATCAAATATTGTCATAATATTCAAGTCATAACTTATTGAAGTTATTTCCAAAATTTAATTCGTATATTTTTATTTTTAACCAGGTTGGTATCAAATTCCGACATAGGTAAATGCAGTTTAGCTCCCAAGCGATGTTTTGGAATTTTTTTTTACCAAAATGTGTGTTTTTGCATGACTGATTTGATGGTATTTTTTTTAAAAAAAGTCACTTAAACTTCATTTGGAAGTTTTGGTCAGAAAACTTCAAAAATGCTCGATTTTTCTAAAAATCGTGTTTTCGGGTTTAAAATATCAACAATTTATACTTTTGGAAATTGTAGAAATTATATGCTTAACATTTTGGTGGAATCAGAATTTACCTTTCACACTTACTTTTTATGTTATTGTTAATAAACCACGTAAAATCTAATTATAATGCTATTTCAATAATTTGCATATTAAAGTAACTCAAAATTAATTTTTTGGCCTTTTTTTTATTCGATGTGTAGTAATATATGAGCTATTTGAGCGAATACGCCAATGGGCTGTTCCTTTGGTAGTAATAGAAAAATTGCAGTCTTGGACGCTTATTGCCAAACATAACACATTAAAATACGTTCATGGACATCCTCTTAAGTTATGTTTAAAAGTTAGTTGCATTGACGGATTTATTATAAATTTTGTTATTTAAAACAATAATTTGACGTTTTAATCATTGTATTAATTCCATCATGACTCCAGATCCGTCTCAAGAAATTTTCCGCCTCTCGGCAAACATAATGCCACCTCGTCCATCAAAAGCAAAATATACTATAGTATACAATTGTCAGTGATACACTTATACATCAGAGCAAATTTTCTAAAAGTTGTCTACAGTATATATAAAAAAAAGTCCCATTGTAAAAAATTTAAAAAAAGAAAAAACATGTCTGTACGATGATTTCGGAAATTTTACCAAGTCTAGGTAAGTCCAAAATTAGTATTATTACCAAATTTCAAGTCTCTACGTGTATTTATAATCGAATTACAGCAAAAAAACTCAAAAATTATAATTCCTTAAAAGCACAAAAGTGGTTTAAAAATTTTGGCAATGATACCGTAACAAATTAAATCAAAAAGGCAACAAAAAAAGGGGTCGTGATTTTTCGATTAAATCATTTTTTCTAGTAAAAAGGATCGTCCGTGTTTTTATAAAATAATGAAATCGTGAAATTGTACATTTTTCTGCGATTTTTCCCACTTATTTGCTTTTATTTAAAAATGACGTCGAAAATCAAAACGTGACCTTTTTCAAGTACAATCTAGATAACTTGAGCTTTCAGAAAAGTTGCTACACATAAAATTCGGAGCAAGTTCATTAGGAAAAAACGTGTCCACAAACTAGAACAAAGAAAGAAAAAAAGACATCCTATAGGATAATGGGCCAGGGCCGGATTGGTTAGGCGAACTACCGAGAAAATCTTGGTGGGCCTCTTAAAGTTTAGTTTAATAAATACATTTTTAAAAAAGCTGTCGTAAGATAATTGGGACGGGTGCAGCCACTGTTGTTGGTGGGAAGTTGGGAGGGTAGGATACAAACGGAAATTTAATGTATATTTGTAAGCAATGATTTATCCACATAGTGGGTACAGAGTGGGACTGATAAATATTTTACGTGGTCTAGAACTTTAAAAAAAATTTTGTTGAGTATCTACCTACATGTTATTTCACACTATCTATTTAGCTGTCGGAGGTAAATAATAATTGAAGCTAATTATTAATGAATACTTTTTTTTTAATTGACAGAAAATACCATTACTATATGTTATCAAAGTAGTAGTGTTAAAGAACCTTATTTAGCTGTAGAAGATAAGTATAACTAAAAATAATTAAATTATGAAAAGTTGATCAATATTTAATGTTGCCTAAGTTAGCCTGAGTATGGAATGTTTGATACTAGGGACAGGTTAATTTATATCTGTTGGTAATGATTGATATATTGTGGTTTACTTGATAAAACATTGATAACAAAAAACGATTCTGAGGAAAGCTTGGTGATCATTCTGTTTAATTTCAACAATTTTATCAATAACACCTACAAAATAAAATAAAAAAAGTCTCAAATGTCTTGAAATTGTTACCACATTTAGGAACAGCCAATATAAGCTATATTCCTAATTTCAAGTGTTTATGACTATTTTTAACAAAATTATAACAAAAAACTCCCCCCTTTTTAATGATCAATTTTTATTTTAGATAATATGAATGTGGATATAATTGAAAATGGTTCTACAATTTTTGCTAAAATATTTTTTTTGTCACCAGGATTTAAAGATTATATCTTAAAATTCCAGAGGTAATTTTAAGGACTTGGTTATGCTAATAGCTAAAAATTCAGAACCACTATCGGAACACATAAACTGTATTTAACAAAAAAACAAAAACATGTAACATCTTTTGTTTCATGGCAATGATAAAATTAGTTGATTGAAGCTATTGCCGAAGATATTTCATGTCAAGTACAATCATTCATTAAAGCTATAAGAATGTTTAGTATATCAATTGATACTACATTTGATACATCTCGAAAGGAACAAATATCATTTATAATACGATAAATAAATAAAATTATTATGATTAATACCACTTCTCAGTTATGTTGTTTAATTTATCTTTTTTAGATGTATAGGTGAAGTTACTGGCGAGGTTCATAAAAGACTATTAGCAGTTACGGAATCACCAGTTACATCTAGAAAAAATGTATACAATATTTTAGTTAACGTAATGAAAGCTGAAAATTTGAATTGGTTGGTCAGTTATTTGATGGAGCTAGTAATATGCGAGTTGAGTTCAGTTGATAGTGCTGCTTTGTCAATAATATAAATCATATTATCGTAAAATTCCAATTCCAAAATTAAAATAGATCCCGTTTTTCCTCAGATTTTCAAATTTGTTGAGAAAATTGAAAAACGACCTCTATTAAGTTCATTCCCACACCGATTTCCTTTCAGAGAAAGTGAAAAATCGGGGCAAGATCTCTGGTAGAAAAGTTCTCTACAGAAAAAAAAATATAAACATCTTTGTAAAACTTCATTCCACTCAGAATCTAAAAAAGGGTCATTCATAAGGTCACCAAAATTTAAATTATTTCCAAAATGGGTAATGTCATAAAAAGTTTGGGAACCTCTGTGTCAAACTATTAGCAATAAGTACTTATATACATTATACATATCAATCACGATAACTACAATGATGTCAATGATGGATTGATGCGATAGCCAATTGGGAGAAATTGTAAAAAAAAACATGGATTAACTGACAAATATTTGCCGCAGCATTGTTGTCTTGTTGATTTCATAATTTTCAATTTGTACGCATTATGTTTTTTAACGGAAATCATGCTTTAATCCAGGGTTGGTAATATACTTACGCATATAAAACGTTCTACACATTACATATATAAAACGTATTATAAAACTTTAGAATCATATTTTTTTTTTAGTTTTTTTATAGTAGTGATAATGATATACATTTTAAATTTAAATAAGTATTTAAACTTATAAATTAACAAATCACATCAGTTTGGTGAATTTTCTAAAATTTAGAATAAAATAAAAACAAAACAAATTTCTATTTTGTTATAATACATATTTATGTAGTTATTAATAATGAATAAAGATGAACTTTAGTAAAATAATTATTATAACAAATGATTGATCACATATACCTTAGGTAATTAATATAAGATATATAAAATTATGTTTAAATTCAGTTGACATTTAGTTTACCTGATCATTTATGTGTTCAGTTGTAGCCAAAAAAAAAAAAATGTATACAGTATAAAACGTATGTAACTAATAGTTTCATACATATGTATAATACGTGTTATATACTTATTGTATTACACATTCCAACCCTGTTTTAATCAAAAAAATGCCAAAAAAATTTTTAGAACACAAGCAACTGATAAAAGTATCCATCCACATATTTTATTGAAGTGTAAATGTGTATGTGTATTAAATTAAGTATTTGATAAATGGAGAGATGGAAGTTTTCCATGTTTTACTAACACGTATACCTTATAGTTTAAATTCCCCCAACATTTTACTCATGGGTTGATTCTGTTCATATTCAAATTATATTTTTAAAAAAAATACCAATCGGCCCCTGACCACTTATTAAATTTGGAAAGGTTCTATTACACTTTTATGTATACAGTGCACTTGAATTGGTATTGCTGAATCAACCACAATATTTAGGTATTAGGTTGTAAAAAAATAACATTAATTTTATTTATTACTAATAAGGTACATAATTTAGACATACAAATTACAAATATTGTTAATGTGACATAATTTTGTACAATTTCATAAAAACCAAATTTCTAGAAATAATTTAATAAATACATTTAGAGGACATGAATTGTAAGTACCTATCTACTTATAGTATATTATAAAAATATAATAATTTAATTTGAAAAAAATAATACTAAAAAACTGTAAAAGAATTAATTAAGAGAATACTGAAATTGTTTACTTTGGTAAACAATTTGAACACTTATTTTTGAGTTTAACTAAGTCAATAATACTTTGGTTTTAATGTCCAAATACCAGTTTTATCAGGGCATCTGTTAAAAGTGCAGACTTCACTTAATAACGATTTGAAAAGTGGAGTATCTTCAGCTGAATATTTATTCTTAAATTGATTTACTATTTGATCAGTGTTGACAGACTGATTGTTCTCTAATAAATATTTTCTAATAGTGTTTAACATCTCTATTTCACGTTCTGTCGCTTCCGAAAAACCATTACGCTTTTTCATCATTGATAATAAGGATGGACCACTTGATTCATCTCTAACGTAACAAAAAATGAAAAAAAAAACCATTAAAATACATGATATCATTTTTAAATCTTCACATTTTCTCATTTACTTTAATATTAAAATTAGTAAAAATGTCAATACTAGACTACATTAGTAGACTTTTGTAAATTAATATAATGTATTATATAAATATAACATATTACATATTTTTTATAATCCCTAAACATAAATATTAATTCTAAAACTTTGAAGGATTTCATTTTTAATGCAAAACACTAGTTTATTTAGTTTTACTAGAAGTTTCAATTGGTTTTATATGAGTATTAGCAAGCACAATGCAGTAAGATTTAAAAATTAACATAACTTAAACAATATTTTTTTCAACACAGGTTAATTATAATGATAATTTACTTACTGATTTGTTGAAGTGAAAAATAATTTAGGTTTAACCGTTCCTTGATTACCAGTCCAGTTTAGTCTACCTGATCCAGGTTGCCAACATTGAGCACGAGATGCTTCAAGGTCTTTGATCGCTTTTTTAGCTAACCTTTGTGCTTCATTTTCAATAATAACATAATCAGACTTTGAAGATTCCATTATTTTATCATGTTTCATTACTGCTTTTACGCCTAGATAAAATAAAAAATTTAAACCCAATTAAAATTTAAATATATTTGATCTGATTGTTTTAATGTAATTATTAAATATCTTAATACAAGGTATAAATTGTATTTAATGTTTAGTATTTATTATTTATTCCATAATACCTGATTTGTTAAATAACTTTTCAAGAACATAATCGTCTTGTTTTTTTGATGTAAGATGGTCAACATATTCTTCTTGATAAACATCACACTTGACTACATAAGGTATTTTAGATTTTTTGGATTTAATCGGTGGATCTTTACCATTTTTTCTCTTATAAAAACTATTTGGTGTAGTAATAGTTTCATCTGTTAATACTTTCTCTATTGATATTTGACTACATGGTACAATAACTGTACTGTCATTATCCATTAAAACAGAATGATGATCAGTATTATGGGAGATTTCAGTATCATTTTTCTGTGGTGTAATATCAAAATTAAGACAATGGTCATTATTAGAACATGATTCCGATTTTGTCTGCTGACTTATTGTTGATTTTGTATTTTGAACAATCATTTTACTAAGTTCTCGTGCCTTCCGTTTCATAGCTTCAATTTTTTCATTAGTAAATGAACATCTGGCTTTTTTAGATATATTTCTTTTGTGTCGAGCTTTTTTAATTTTACTTAAATTAACCTAGGATCACATACATTACATTATAAAACTGTGCTGAAAAAATAAATAATTTATATACTTCTGAGCCTGTCCCAGCAAATAAGTCTGTAGTCTCGACAACACCATTTTCATCCACATCTTGAAGTGTAAATAGTTCATATAAATAATTTGACTTGAAAAATCGTCGTTGTTTTGGATCCACTAATACTTTATTACTTAAAAACTGTTTAAAGATCTGGCGATGATACATCTAATATATAAATAAAAGTTAAGTAAATAATTATTTGAAATTTAAATAACTTTTTGTTTTACAATAAAAATACCTTTTCTTCTATAGTTCCAGCAGTGAGTAATCTATAAATAGTAACTGGATTGGTCTGTCCAATTCTCCAAGCACGTTCTCTAGCTTGTAAATCTGTAGCAGGGTTCCAATCAGGATCAAATATGATAACACGATCAGCACCAATAAGATTAACACCTAAGCCACCAACCTTTGTAGTCAATAACATAACAAATATTGAAGAATCCTAAAGAAAATATAATAAATCAAATATTATTTAAAAACAAAAATGTACAAAAAATAATAGTTACTTTATTGAATTTGTTAATAATGGGCTGACGAGAACTAATAGATGTAGTACCTTCTAATTTTAAATATGAATAATTTTGCTCAATAACAAATTGTTGGAAAACCTGAAGCATCTTAGAAAGTATACAAATGATTATATTTTGTTAAATTAGATATATTATAAAAATTTGTCTTACTTTTACACTTTGAGTAAATAGTAGAACTCGGTGGCCTTGATTTTTCCACATTTTAAGTAATGCCTCAACTACAATCATTTTTCCTGACTTTTTCCAATAACCAAAAGGGCCAGATTCCTAATAAATTAAAATCTATTTGTAACTAAAAATTGATACCTAATAATTGGGTTGAAGGCAAAGAAGAAGAACTAAAGATAAAATTTATTTTTTATAAATGTTATTAATTTATTATATACGTATTATAAGTAATACAACTTACAAGATTTATTTGAAAAAGATCAGGATGGTTACAGATAGTCCTTAATCGAGATATTCCAACAAACACTTTACAATTACCATTTATTATTTCTGAAATTATATCTGAATGTTCAAGGAATCCTCGATACAAGGTTTTTTGTTCATCAGTTAAACGACAAAAAAGAACTTGCTCATTTTTGTCAGGTAAAGAAATATGAGATTGAATATCGGCTTTCATACGTCTTAATAAGAATGGAGTTATTGTATCTTTAAGTATCGTAGCACATTTATAAGCTGTAGTTATCTATTGTATGAAAAATCATATTAAAATACATAGAACAATTTATCAAATAAAAATAAAATTCACTTGTAATTCCGTAGCATTTGCGTAACCTCCTTGTGTAATTGGAATAGCAAAACTTTTAATAAATGCAGGTAAAGTTCCTAGTTTACTAGGGAAAATAAAGTCAAACAATGACCATAATTCCTTCAAATGGTTTTGTATAGGTGAACCAGATATAATAATTCTGTGACTAGATTTTAATTGCTTCGCTGCTACTGTTATCTATAACATTAAATTATTTTAGGTAATACCTAATAAAATAATCAGATTTAATATTATTATCTGGAAGAATTCATATAACAAGTTACTAGTGTAACAATTTAGACACAATATCATACATTGTCATCATACATAATTATCCCATTGGTGGTGTGAGGTTAACATATTGAGTATACATATAATATAGGTAAGTAAGAATGGGCAGCAAAATGTTGACTGATCATTTTCAATGCAATAATAACACAGTAGCAATAGCAGTAATAGGTTTAGTGAATGCTCTGAGAAGAACATCACACCTGAAGGTGGAACAATCATCTAGTTACAGGATATTGTAAGTCATACTCACAGATTTCACTACCCTCAATTAGTTATCCTTAAAGTGTAAGATTATATTAAATTGACTACTGTTAAAAAATGTTAGCTAAATGCTAATTTAGGTAAACAGAGGTAACCTCTGTTTATAATGTAATCACACATCAAGATTAAGTTCCTGAAGCCTTGTTAATATAAACAAAACTGTTACCACCATATCCCCCACAGAGGGTGGAAGTAAGATGCTCACAGGGGGGGACATTAAATTAGAAAAAAATGTAAGAATTTTGTATATGCATTATCTACAATTGTAGATAATATATGACATACCTACTATACTTTATAATTTTAAAATCATAAAATTATTCTAAAATTAAATTTGTCTTACTTTAGAATCAGGATTTCTAATTTTATGTCCTTCATCTAACACTACATAATGCCAGTTATTTTTTAGCAAATTATTGATATGGTGTAGCAAACCACTATACGTAGTAATCAAGACTCCTTTTCTACACCACACATCTTTTATTAAATTTTCTGGTTTTCCTAAAACAAAATGAAATGATTCCATAAAAAAATATCAAAATAACTAATATGTTATGTACCTAATATACTTAAATAGTTTTGTGGTAAATATTAAAGTATGTAAATAATATTACATTTTATATACAGTAGAATCTCACCTAACCCAACTTAACCTCAATAAGTCGAAAACCATAATAAATCAAAATAAATAAAGTTCCCTTGCAAAAACCCCGATTACTCGAAAGAAAAACTAGATAACTCAAACATTTCGGGTTCTGAATATAGACAGAATCATTAAATTATTATTATTATTTCTTTTAAAATTGTAACACTAAACACGTTTTTATCATAATTTGTCTAAAATAATAATACACACTGTAATTCATATACAATATAATAATAAAAAAAATGATAATACTTTTTAAAAACTCAATTTTTTTTCGTAAAACATTAATATGTTGAAAAAAATTGCATTTCCCTTGAATTTTAACTTATTGAGGTTCTACAATATATATTAAAAATAAATTGTTTACTACAACTATTCAAACTAAAAATTACCTTTATAAGATCCAGTATCGTGTAAAACAACAGCACGTATAGGTGGACACCATTTATGAAATTCATCAACCCATTGATGCATTAAAGTGGCTGGACAAACAATTAAACTAGGACCTAAACCACGCATACCAGTTATGCTATCTTTTAAACGGCTCCAATATAAGGCACCAAAAAAAACAATGATTTGAATTGTTTTCCCTAAACCCATTTCATCTCCTAATATACCACCAGAGCCTTGTTGATGTAATTCCCATAACCATTTCACGCCAATGCGTTGGTACCTAATAACATCAATAATATAGAATACATAAATATTATAAACCATATGTTTAAGTTGTTATTTATAGATATTTTACTTGTATAATTTTTCCCAAATTTCTGTAGGAACTTTAAAATAATCTCCATCAATACAATGAAATAATTCATCATTATCAGTTGCAATTTCAGGATGACATTTTTCATATTCTTTTAATCGATTCTCATAATATTCTTCAATTCCATCGTCCAATGCTTTATATTGACCTTTGAAAAAAGTAATGGATATATAGGTTACTTATTTATAAAGTTAACACCATAGTTATATTAAAAACTATTACTCAAAGAATAATATTTTGTTTCAAAATACTCCTCATCAGAACCATTAGTACAATCTTCCTCTGGAAATTTAGTTTTTTTTTTAATGAATGACTTTTTTCGATTTTTGGCTTTTATATAAGTGTCATTTTCTAAAAATTTAAATAAATTTACTATAATATATATTTTACTATATTGATTTACTTGATATTACCAGAATCTGTTGATGGAAAATATTCACTTCCGGATTCACTTTTAGATGTTTCTGTTGATTTTTCAATTGGTTCTTTATTTTTAACAATTATTTTTTGTTCTTTAATTGTACTATATGCTTTTTTTTTCGGTTTTTGAACCATAGTTGATAGTTTAGACTGAGAAACTAAATACTTTTGCAACACATCTTCAGAGCTAAAAGTGTTTAAACCCAAATAAATACAAATGTATTCTAAAGATTATCTACATTTTAAATATTATATCTACATCAGAGTGACATACCTTTTGGTTTTGTTTTGTGAAACTTCTGTTGAACCAAAAGGTGTCATTTCTCCTGTCCTAATTTTACGTTCATTTTCAGTCTCTTCAATTCCTAAAACTCCTAAAGTTGGAACCTCACAAATATCAACATTTTTGTTGTCCAATACATCATTATTAACTTGTTGTAAAACTTCATGTTCAAAATGATTTACATCATACACAGTTAAACCTGTAAGATCTTGCAACTCTTTAGGCTACAAAAAATTGACATACATACTCATATTAAAGATTTATTTTTAATTTTTATATATGTATTTGTACTTGATTAGTTTTTGGAATAGCTTCAATTTTGCTTCTGTCAATATTGATTATATTACTATCAATAGAATTGTTTTCTACTTCCATCATGACTTCTAAATCATTACTAGATAATTGCTCCACCGATTCCATCATTAATTACTGAAAAATAAAAATGTTGAATGCTGTTCAATTTAAATTTTCATTTTTTATTCATAATCAATGTTCTCATATACAATCATCAGGGCATCAAACCACACCTGATGAAATTGCATATAAATAATAAATAAACACCTCCACCAAATTGTACACAAAGATTTATCACACATGTTGTATGTTATCCTTGGTTTGATATCCTGACAATTGATTGAATCATTTCTAATGGATTACCTTCTATAGAAAGAACATTCCGTTTCAAAAATGATTGTTGAAATAAAGTATAAGTTAAGCAAAAGAGATAAATAATTGAAATAAAATAAACGATTCTGATAATAATTTAATATTCTTACTATTTTGTTAAAAATTACAACAATAAAAATCAATGACTACAATGGGTTATTTTTATAATAATTCAATAACATACAACATTAATTATATAATATACTATGTTCTTTTAAGGCATTTAACTATTTAACATATGTCAATGGATCAGTCATAATATAAAGTTTTCATTAAAATACTAAATATTACACAATAAAAATATTAAAAAAAAAACAACTTCTCACTGCATAAATTTATTTAAAACAACAACTTTAATATTAAAAAAAAACTTGAATATAACTGCAGTCATCAGAAGAAATTTGTATTTTTGAAGACAAAATTGACATTGGTGAAAAAATTTTAACATTCAAAATTACATACACATAAAAAATAATCCAGAGTAAATAATAAAAATATACTTTAATTAATAGAAATTAGATAATAACACTTAAATCAATTGTATTTAATTAACATCTGATTTTAAATATTTAATATATGCAATATTGTATGTATATATTAACTCTATCTAACAATTGAAATATTTAGAAGTATGACAGATCTCAAATTATTAAGTTCAATAATTTAAAACTAATAAATACAATTTAGCATAAATTATCAGGTATAAATAATTTTGCATAGATTACTAAAAAATTAAGCATACTAAAAAAATTAAAATAACATGATGTAAAATGAAAATAATTAAAACAATTTCAATACTCTCTTAGTATTGATGGGGATATTTAAGAATATTATGAAATAATGAAAAAAAACAAATATAAATAATATATTGCTATATAATTTATATACATATATAAGTGTAAAATTAAAAAAAAAAAACGCATAATTTAAATAAAATAGCCTAGAGCCTACTGTTATTGTGGATGGAATCACATACTTCAATAATTTTAAGATTTTCAGATAATTAATAAATAACATACTGTACAGATTGATTTACTCAACTGGAAACACTCATTATTGAAATGTTATATTATAATATTTTTTTATCACTCTCATTTTTGGGATGAAACGACTACCTACATTTTATTTTCAAATGACAATCTATAATGAAAATAGATAGAGTATTTAAAATACATTTTAGTGTTGAAATTTTTGATTTCTATCAATCTGTTGAAGAAATATTCCACTTTTAGGTTTACGTTGAGGAAGAGTAGTGAAGCATCATTTGTGTGGCAGCACGGCGAGCGTAGTTTTGATAATGCATCACTACTCTCCCTTGACCAAAACTTAATAGTGGAATATCTCGTCAACAGATTGACAGGAATCAAAAATGTCAGCACCAAAAGTTATTTTACATAATAATCCATCAATATATGGAATTTTGAATACAGGTTTTCATTTCAAAATAAAAGTAGGTGGTGGTATTATATAAAAAAATAAAAAATTTAAAATTGTAGTCCTGCTTATTTTCTATGTGCTCTACAAGATAAATTCTGAAAAAGTGAATATTTTTTAAAATAATTAGCGTTTCGAGTTGAATAAATTACCCTGTATAGTAAAAATGACAAAGAAATCAAAAAGCACAGAAACAAATTGTGTCATTTTTAAAAATATGTGATCCAGGTCAACTGAATACTGATTTGATATTAGGTAACAAAATATTTTAAACTAAAAATAAAATAATCATTATAACATATTATTATCTAACTTACTTTGGATATTTATAATGAAAATAAAAATTAGTTTATGGCAGATTTAAAAAATTTAATTTACCATATATATTACATAATATACTTGGATATAAAAAATTGTAATTTTATTTATTTATTTTTTTTGTTAGTAATAAATTATAATAATAATAACATTAATATGTTAAAATTGCACTTATTCAGTTGTTCCTGTTAAATAAGACAAATAAGAATAAAATCGTATGACTAAGACTAAAAATAATACTATTGAAGGTAACGCAAAAAATAAATGGAAGTTTGGAGTTTGTTCTAATTCTTTGCACTTCTGCATGGTTTGCTCTAACTCATATTTCAATTTATTTTTTTCTTTTAAACATGTATCATATTCATTACGAATTTGTTCCAGTACTAAATTTTGGTCCTGTTCAGAATCTGCTTTAGTTTCTACATCAGAACTGATTTCTTGAATTAAATATCCATCAGTCTGAGAATCTGGTAAAATTTCATTTACAACATATTTTTTTTGTAATGAGGATTCATTTTTAATATTATACTCTATTTTAGAAACATTTAGATCTAAACAGACATTTTCACTCATTGAGTTGTTAAAAGAGCAAATATTTTTCTGTAGTATATCTGGCACATTATTTATATTGTTGGAATCAATACTTGATATATGACATAAATAGTCAGAAATTAACAATAGTACAATGTCTTTACAAGAAAGTTCTTTTTTTAGATGTTTTATACTAGATTCTTGATCATCTAAATTATTTATACAGTCTAACAAGACATCTTTAACTTCAGATAATCTAAATTCAATGTCATCAGATTTCTGTTTATAAAATTCGGTTTGAATATCAATGTTTTTGGATAAATCTTCAATATTTTTCAAATTATCATTATCATTTAATATAATCATTTTCAATTGATCAGGATCAGAATCCATGTCATTCACACTTTTATTTTTAATACAATTAACCAATGACTCTTGATTAAGATCAAGCTCTGTTTGTAATTGGCATACTTGGTTTTCAATGAATGCTTTTTGTTTAATGTGTTTTTGCATTCGACTTTGAAGTGAGTTTATTTGATTTAAGTATGTTTGGCGGTCTTGTAATATGTGTACAATATAAGACATTATATCATTAAAGTACTTATTTAAAGAAATATCTTCTGTAAGATCATGTTCATTTTGTAATGTCAAAAGAAGTACATTACGTGTATTAATCTCATAATTCATTTTAGTTATTTCAGCTTGTAACCGTTCAATTTCTTCACATCGACTATGTAAACGCATATCTATTTCATTTTTTGTTTCTTTTAATGTTTTTAATTCTTTTTCATATAGCTCTTTAGATAAATCAAATACTTTAACACTGTTCTCATGATTAGCAATTTCCGTATTAAGCTTAGTACATACTTCTTTAATTTCTTCTTGTGCCTCATCCAGATGTTTCATCAAGACACTTTGCTCATTTGTAGAATGCTTTAATAAATTTTCTAGTTCTTGACACTTCTGCATTGTTTTCAGTTTTTCTGTCATTTCTTTTTTTAAACAATCTTTAGCCATTCCTTGGTTTGAATATTTGTATTGTTTTAAGTCAAATATTTCTTGTTTCATTTCATCTTCTCCATGTTCTTTTTTATAATACTGTAGTTGATTTTCTAAAAATTCAATTTTGGATAGTAAGCGGTCTTCAGCTACTAAGGCTTTCCAAGTATTGTCTGTTTCACCAATTATGTTTGATAACAATCTCTCTAAGTTAAATAATTTATTTTCTAAATTAGCTTCCCTGTGTAATGCATCTCGTATGTAAATATCTATATTGCACAAATCTTGAGTAGACACATCGTTTATAAAATTAATTTCAGGATTAGATTTAGCCTCAGTACCATCGGCATTATATAATTTCAGTACAGCTGTAATACAGCCATGAGAAATGTTTTTAGTGTTTTCAATAACGTCAACACCAAATTGGACTACATCTCCACTAAACACTTCTTGCGGTTTTGACTCTTCCCCACTTTTACTGAGTCGATGGTTGTTAACAAATGTACCATTACTACTTTTTGTATCTTGTAAATAGAATTTTCCATTTTCGTGAGAGAGCAGGGCGTGGTTTCTTGATAAAACTTTGCAATCGAAAATTCCATTGTGTGGACTGACTTTAGCTTTAGCCAACAAACGACCAATCTTCACAGGTAGATCAAGAGTAAGTGTACGTTCTTCGAATGGATGTGAATTAGGACAGCACTGAAGAACAGCTTTACAAACAGAACCGTTCACCCTTTTTGTGTCGTAACTCATACTTTCAATCATCATGGTTGGTAAATGTACATTTTGTTTTTAAACCTAAATGACTATTACTAAATACATAGTCTTAAGTTACCTTATAGTAGTTTTATTAGTATTTTGAAAGAATGCGATTTGATAAGAATTGAATATACTTAGCAAACTGTCAACATAATTATAAAAAAATTATACAAAAACTACGTTACAAAAATAATTTTAAGAAAGAACCTTTAGAAACCTAGAAAGAATACATAGTTGCACAAAAAAAAATATCGATGGAATTAATAAGGAATGGAAATTAATTTGATAACGCAATTATGTCAACATATTTGTATGATACAATCAGGTACATATATTAGTTTAATATATATATCTGTGGATACAATGAATGGAATGTCGCAGTGTAACCAACATTTTTGCAGCGAATAAAATATCATACGTTTATTAAATTCTGCGTTTTTGCAACAACCATTATTTTTTATTTTTGTGGCTAATCAAAAATATCTGCACAACATACTATTTTGATAAGAATGGATTTTTATTTTTTTCTACATCTATAATAATTCAAGCAATAAGCATTTCATTTAAAATTTAAGATTGTTTTATTAGTTGTACAGTGTAAAGTTAAATACTCCCTAACAAAATATGGGTAAATGTAATATAATATCATTTTTAATGTGTTTATTGTTTTATAATTTATTCTTTAGTTTTATAATATTTAGTTTACTAATAATATTTTGAACTTTCAGCCGTTTCTACAGGTATGTCATTCTTTATCTCAACACTGTTGCTTATGGCTGTATTTTCATTCATGCATCTGAACAGCAAGTGGTTAACATCAAGTTCTACACTCATCATAGGTACCGGTTTTCTTGGATCTGTGTTGTTTACATTGGCTTTAACTGTATCCTTTTATAATTTACAAGTAAATATAAGGGATATAAATTATAGTATGAAAAATTTAATGACAAGTAAATAAATGCTTAACTAAGTACATGAGTTTGACACAAATGAAATATAATTAATAAGAACTATAAATTATGCAGGTTATGCAATTAATGCCTACAAAATATGTGTTAAGAAATAGTGAATTGGATTAGTTTATCTGGAAGTAAAATTAAAAAAATGGCTGATCAATAGACTTTGTGATAGGTAGAAATATAATTTTACAAGTTATCCAAGTAAATATGTTAAGAATAATTTAACCGTGAAACCTAAAAAAATAAAATAAGAATAATAAATAAATACAATTATATAACTATTATTATGCTGGTAAGGGTGGCCTTGAAAATAACCGTTTCAATTTCAAAAGCCTAGACATTCTTGTACCAGTGTTGGTAAGATAAGTTTGCGTTATTTATCCTGGGATGGACTTGTTTATTGCGATGCAAGGGACTTATTTTTATTAATCCTAGCACTGAATACAATAAGATAAACTATTATTATTTAATTTACCTTAACTAATCAATTACCAGGCCATAAGTAATTTAATGACACTAGTTATGGGAGAAAGATATCAAGCAAGCTTCTTTCCAGAAAGTAAGTAAAACAAATTGTTTAAATATCCTATAAACTAAGATAAATTTGTTAAACAATTTATCTAAGTGATTTGTTGTAATTATTTTTATTATTCTGACTATGTAAACAATATAGTAAGATACTTCGTACGATGAGTGGGCCACTATTGTAGGTGAGAGGTTGGGAAGATATGATATAGAGAATTTGATGTATTATCTGTTAGCAACGATTAATCTTTTCTAACAAAACATGATTTTGCGCTTAGTTTGGTTACACATATTTTAAAAAAACTATAATATTAAGATTTGAAAATTGTACATTTCATAAGTTTTGCCATTTATTACAACTTATTACACTGAAAATCTGAGCAAAATTTCTGGTAGAAGAGTTGTTCAGATGAAAAAAAAATATTGTAAAACCAATACATTTCTCGTTTCGTTCAAAATCTAAAATATTTAAATTTATTTATATTTTTACCAAAACAAATTTCTTTTAACTGTAAGATTTATTATTTTTATTATTCAATTAAATATCTTATAATGATAATTATATTTTAGTAATGACTTTTTTTAAAAAATATTTTATTGAAAATTCACTAATATTTTAGACTTGTAATAATTTTTAACAGTTCCTAATTAAATAATTTCTTTTTTTTAGTTGTGTTATCATTATTGTTTACTTTCTTCATATGTGTGTCAATTCACAGAGTATGTGCTACAACCGGGTAAATATTATTATTTTTAATAATTGTATAATAATCTCCAATTTGTGTTACATTGACATTTACATTATTATAATATTTTCAGTTTGCTGTTTTCATTATTTGCTCTTTACAATATTTATAATATTTCTCAAAAAACATACAATTCCAGTACATTAATAAAACAACCTATTGTGCATAGCAAAAAGAAGAAACATTAAATCAAAATTACGCATATTACCATTATTAAATATACAATATACGCATTTAATTTTTGTATTATTTACTATGTTCATTATTGTAATTTATTTTAAAAATAAGGTTCAATAGCTTTTTTATTATTATTTTTTTTTTATTTATACATGTAATTTAATATTATAATTGTTTGGGCTTCTCAAATATCATTTATATTTATTCAAAAATTTGAAACTACAGCATAGATGTTACTTTTTTTACTATAATCTAATACAATTAGTATTTTTAAATATAAGGATAAACTCGTTTATTTTTCAAAGTACAATAATATAGAATAATATTAGAATTATCTAATTAGTATTATAATACTAATGTAAGTTCTTGTATGGCTAAATAATTAAGTATATCATATTTTAAATTAAAAATATTTATAAGTAATTATGACTATATTTACGAGATGCTACTATATAAGTATAAAGGATAAAATAAAATGAAATCATTAATCATAAAAATACAGCTACCTTGTTGTTTTAGTTCTACAGACAACATGGCAACTGCAGTATATGATCTATCATTTTTACCACTTTATAGGGGTATTTAGTTGTGTCAGTGTGTTGATGGTTTCTTAGTTGCAGTTAAATATAAAGTGTGATAAAGGTGGGCTATCTTTATGACACGAAAAACTGATTAATGATGGTATAGAACAATATTTGCATAGGTAGGTATCATAAAATATAAATTAGTGGATTTTATCTTGTATTAATGTCATATAAAATCTATTAAACACTGTTATCATTTAAAATATAATTAGTAATTAGAAAAAAAAAATTATTTCTAATAAGACTTAAAATACTTGTGCCATGTACTTTAAAAAAGTAATAAATGTGTCATTTTTATTGAATTCCCCCACAATGTGTCAATAAATTATAAATACTAATTGTAATCCTGTAGTAGAATACATATAGCAAGATAAAGAAATGAAAAAAAAACTGAGAAAAATGAAAATAATAAAGTATTATAATAAATAGAAAAAAAAAGACAAACATACTTTGCATGATGGGTGACACTGTTGAAGGTGATAAGTTGGAAAGGTAGAATATAAGAGAGAATTTAATGTATATCTGTATGCAAGGATTAATGATGAAAAACTAGTCTGAGCAAAATTCGGCTAAACACGTTTTAAAAGGCCGAAATATTTATGATTTTTGTCAAAATTTGATTCTAAAATTCTTATTAAAAAATAAAAAAACTATTAAACTCAAATTTTCTTGTTGACTAATTACAACTTTAATGTAACATCTGTTAAATTTACAAGCATTTCTGTTTAATATAACAATTTTATCTATAGAGTTTAGGTTTAAAGGAAGTTAAATATTTCTTAGTAGGTACTAAATTTAGCTATTAAACAAATAAAACAAACACACATGTTATTAGAAACAAATAAATGTTCAATTTTAGAATCACATCAAACACATTTTCATAGAAAATAATTTGGTATACCAATAAACTTAATTCTTTCTGTGTATGTATTATGCCCGACTTTTCTTTAATGATAAAAATACTTGAATAAATCACCATATTGAGTTTTAAAATATGATAATAGATCATACAGACTTATATTCACTGACTGGTATTAATATATATTAGAATGTCTTGCACTGTTCACCATCGACTCCACTTTGTTTGCTGTATCTCTGATAGCTTCTGGCAATTCAGGTAGGTCTAGAGTGGTAGTTAAGTGTGCGGACAAACGTTTGTACATTGAATCTTTTTTAGATCTTCCACTGAAATATTAATGTTGATAAATAAAATAATAAAACATTAATCAATATTATAAAAAAAATCAACAATAAATCTATAGTAGAATATAAACACTAAACTACAAAATATGTCTTACCAGATAAAAATATACTAAGTGCATGCTTTACAAACAATATTACACTGGTTTGGTTTTAATAGATTTGAATGGTGTATCTTTGTTTATTATGAAGTTTTCAGTCTACATAATTATAAATACAATTATTTGTTTTAACTTAAATAATAATAAAAATTAATCAAATCATATAAAAATGTTGATAATGATAAATACATGCATACAAATACAAAATTAGTAAACGTATAATACCAACCAATATATTGGAAAATTATCTGCTTGATATTCTAAGACAGGGATGGCGAACCTTTTTCGAGTCAAGTGACAAATTTTTTTAAAATATAATCCCGTGTCAAAAAAAGTCTACTAAAAATAAAACAATTAGAAAATAATAATACACATTTTATGTGGTTATTTGTTAACTTTATTTAAAAATAGATTCTTAAATTATCACCAAATATTAAGCATTATTTTAATATATTATTTTTTTAAAGATAAAGTTTTGGAACCTGTAATAGGGGAATATTATGTAATTTTCAATGAAAGCATTTCTTTGTTTTGATTTTATTAAATTTGTTGTGGAAAATAAATTTTCCCACGCATAAGTAAAAGAAAAATATTAAAGTATGGAATGAGTCAATTTTTTTAATATAGGTATTATTTAAATGTGTCTAGAAGTGAGTTCCAGACTTTAAGCATTTCATTATCCACATTTTTCATTACATTTTCTTGAAGACTTGAGTTATCAAACAACCTTAATTTGAATGTACACAATTCTTGATTTGCAGTAAAATATTTAAAGTTTTAGGTTTCATTATGCGATTTTCTAAAGACATTAAACTTTTACGTTTGCTTAAATCCTTATATTGTATACTACTTTGATGTGGATCTGTAATTTGGAATCCTTTTATAGCTACTGGGTCAAGCCAACTTGAGCGTGTGTAGCGTAAATTTTTGAAATTTGTTGGCTTCTCTTAAGGTACACCACACTATGATTATTCTCCTGTTGCTGAATCACTTGGACTTGAAATTCTCGCTGAATATAGGCGTATGCTAAACGCAAAGTTCTTTCAGGATATCTTGCTTAACAGAATCAATTCTCCTACGCTACTCTCCTTTGTAAATTTTAAAATTCCTTCTCGTTTAACACATCCCAATGCAATTTACTTCATTTCTAGAGCCACCACATTCTATTAAATAAACGAACCACTTAGACGTCTAATGACGTATGACAATACCGACCCTACTTTCTTAGATTTTCACTATTAATTACTATTTCCTCCTGTACATAGTTATAATTTTTCATTGTTTATAGTTTATTGTCATTACTTGTAATTTATAAATGTTATTGAATATTGATACTAATTTTATTGTTCTCCGTCAATTTTAACCTAACTTAACATAACTTATATTGTATTTAATTAAATTAATTTACTTAAATATAAAGGGTAAATCCCATATATGATTAAAATTAAATTTAAAAAATTCAATTGATTTATATTTCTTCAATTAGTTTATCCAAGTGCATGATATATTTACTGTCATTTTTTATTATTACTAATTGCTTTTCACATATTATGTATAACATTTATAACTTATTAATATTAATTTAAAGTTCTAACTCCTACTTCCTCATAGTCAATGGCTTGGAATTAGCTAACTACAGTAATTTTATTTATACATTTTAATTTGTTAAACTATAGTTAGTATAGAAAATAAATAAATATTATTATTATTATAATTATAATTGCCTTAAATAAATACATTTTTATACAAGTTTTATTTTTCAATGACACTGTAACGGTATTGGTTAATACTTATTTATGTAGTGATTAGAGTACAATAATGATCATAAATATTATATCTATAAATATCTATTAAATTTACATGTTTTTTCTTATTATTCAAATTTATAAAATTATTTCTTTTTGTATACTAATATGTTGAAATCTGATTCATTTTTTTTTTTAAGATAAATATTTTAATGGTGTGCTATAGGTTCGTCACCCCTGTTCTAAGACATAAATAAATAGAACATAAAATATAACTCACCGTCTGGTATGCTCATACTTAATTTGTTGACTAAGGAACAAAGCATTTTTAAGTTGTTCTTGAATATTATTTAATGATTTTTCACAGTTTTTAATTGAATTGACCGCACTGTAATACATTATAATTTTAAGTAAAACTAATTTGATTTATTTATTTTATAATATCAAGGCATATTATTACCCTAATGCATATTCTACATCATAGTAATGGCCTTGTAAATCCTTGTGAAGTTTTTGTACTTGAACTCGTTTTTCTATCATAGGCGGTACAGACTTTCTTACGTGTTCTTGAAGTCGATAAAATGCTAATGACGGTTCATTAGCGACAAAATGAAGATTTTCAGATAAAATTCCAGTAGCTTATAATTTATAAAACAAAAATTATTTTCATATAAATATAAAATTTAAATACCAAATGTTGATATTCACCTCGTCTTGATTTCGTTTTTAAGTCCGAATCGTGCATTTCAGTCATTGTTAAAAATGGTTTTGTTTTATTTACCTGTCTATGTTAAATTTATATTAGCTAATAGCTGCACTTTACGAATAAATTATAATAAAATAAATAAATCAAATAAAAATTTAAAATGTTATCAATAAATCATGTTATTTGATTGAGCTTGAGCCACAGACACGAACAAAAAATTAATGATTAGTAAATAATATCAAATCCATAGATATGTAGATTAGGATAAGGAGACAAAACTCCGTATACAAAAAACACAGACTGTAACGAAAAATGAGACGACAAAAGCCACGATTTAAGATTTTAAATCGCCCAAAAAGCACATTGCCACAGTACCACCAGAAGCGCACTGTTAGATTCGTTATCTTTAATCGTGATTACAGTCCAATCGGCTTATCATAGATTATATAATTTGTGGTTTTATATTAGGTACCGAACGATTTAAGATATTGTATCTTAAACCGTGGTACCGACTACCTACCCACAAAATAAGGTACTAGGTCACTATGTACGATTGAGTATGAAAAACACTGAACGTGGACACTGTACTATTATATACATAATATATACATAGCACACAACCATAGCATATAAATACAATACACATAGTATATATAGAAAAAATAAAAAGTCTGAGTACGGGATGTTTGATACTGAAGATGGGTTAATAATTATGAATAATAAAATAATAAAGTAAAAAAAAAAATTATTAAAATGGTTAATGCTCGTAAATAAAGAATTAAATAATTATGATCAATCCAACAGTTTTATCCACATAGTGGGCACCTATCAAAAATTATATATTTATATTAATTTATAAATAGCCCAAAAGTGGCTCAAATTTTTCGAAAATATTACCACGTCTAGGAAAGGCCAATATAAGTATACATTTCAAATGTCAATTTTTTACGACTGTTTTTAATAGAATAACAACAAAAAACTCCCGAAATTGACCGTAAGTACGCACTAGTATTTCCCTGCGAAGGGGCGGGCTGCTAATCGCAGTTAATAATGCATTGAAACTAATCTCTAATTTCATCCACATTCGATATTGTTGAACAAGTTTTTGTGCGGATATCTCTTCCTGGTGTAATTTCCGTTTTTCTTGCTGATGTCTATCTCCCACCAAACACAAACACATCCAACTATGAGAGTCACTTCCAGTTGACCACACTTGGTGCTCAAATAGTTTTGACGTCGGGATTGTCTGTGGTGGTTTCCATCTATCTAGTGACTAGGGGACTAATAATAACTCCGCCCCCGCGTCGACGGTCAATATTCCCTACTTAATTTCGACCAAATTAATGACATTCCCAATAGAGATGGGTTTCTCCTTAACTTCATCTTCTCCAACAATGATTCTATCCGAGTAAACCACATTACCGATCCTTTTATTACTTGTGTTCCCTACCATCCATCACTTTCTATCTCCTTTTCATAACCAACAGCCATAAACCAATTTGATGATCAACGGAAATTTCGTAATTTTAAATACGCTAAATATGACAATACACACAGAAACTCAAGGCACATTGATTAGTTAAACATATTAAATGGTTTATCAGCTGATAAGGGCGCTGATTTTCTTCAGATGTCACTTTTGAATAATATTCATCAATGGGTACCATTGTCCATTACACAATTATCGTAAGTCTACCTTTCCATGATGGGTATCCTTACCCATGATGGGTATCCAATAACCTTAAAAACCTCCTGTCAAAAATGAAACGAACTCATAAACTTTATACGATTACCGATAATACTATTCACAGGGATGGACAGTAATCAGTTACATGTATCAAAGTTACATAAGTCGGTTACTTTTGTAATTTGTAACTTGTAATCAGTTATACAATTTTAAAGTAACTTTTAAATGTAACGAGTTACAATTTGTTATGTAACTTAAGTTACAAAAATCATTAAAAAAAAAAAAATTCAAAATGGATACAATACTAATACATTATTATCAATACTACAATAATTATGCTATTTTTGTATTCAATAAAAATGATACCATGTGAGTTAAACTTGAATATTTTCATTAAAGACTGAGAAAGCTAATCAAATATGATGTATTTTATAATTTTTGTTTATTTAGATAGGTACCTACTATCTTTAAAATGCTAATTATCATATGTCTTAGAAATTTAATTTTTAAACATTCAATTACTCGTTCTGAAAACTTGATAATTATATAATATAAGTATAACAATATAATATAATAATGATGATTGTGGAAATCAAATTGTATTGGTGTAAATGATATTTAGAATTCCGTCATTAATATAGAAGCCTGGAAAACCCATAGATATGATTTAGTATGCAATACGACGTGTGTATTTTGACATTTCCTAATCTAATCGTATAAAGATAATCACAACTTTAATAAATATTTTAAAAATAAAATTGGAAATTTGTAGGTATTTTGATCAATCATGACATTAGTTTACCCGAACTGAGTTGTGTATCAGTTACGGTTATACTGTGTTACTGTCGGTTTATTTTCGAGTTTTAACGCGTTTTTTGTTAAATATGGATAAAACACCCGCTATATTAGATGGACAATTTTTTGAAGTTGTAATTGTTAAGAACGAAATTGTTAAAGCAGTATGTATGATATGTAAGGAACAAAATAATGAAAAACAACAATATCTGGTTCTTTTAAACACTCTTCGAATTTTCGTACTCATATGAAGGCAAGTTTTAATTTTTGTAGTTAATACAATATGCATTATTTAATTTTCTACTTTTCAGAGGGTTCATTTTACTACATTTGAAGAATTTGAAAATAATGTGAAGACGAATACTCAAAAGTAAAATAATAAAAATATGACAAATTTTAAACAATTTATTCCCATCTAACAGCGGAGGATTGAAGCAAACACAATATGAAAATAATTTGGTTAATTTTATTGTTAACAATATGAAACCCTTATCCATAACTGAAAAGATTTTCAAAAACTTATTTTTTGGTAGGTACCTTTTTATGATAATTTATAAAATACACAAATTGTATTTAATCCAATTTCAAAAAATATACTTATTTAGATTTAGATCCAATTATAAAAATTATATCTAGTAGAACAGTCGGTAGACGTATAAATGACAACTATAACAATGTTTCAAATAGTTTAAAATTATATTTTCAAACACATTCTGAAGTCCACGTTTGTACAACTGCTGACATTTGGTCGACAAAACATTGCAGTTTTATAGGTATTACAGATAACTGGGTAAACTTCATTATTTTATAGCCTATAGCAGCTATAGGCTACAATATTTTCAGATCGATGACAAAACATTAGGCCGTCATAGTTGTGTTCTAGCTTGCCAACAATTTTTGGTGCACATACATTTGATAAAATTAGAGAAATTATGATAGATATATTTGGCAAATTGCATTTAATTAATGATAACATAGTTTCTACAGTAACGGATAATGGGTGCAAATTTGTATAATCATTCAAGGAGTTTGGTTGTAAAATAAAGACATCAAACACTGATTCAGACACAGACTCCCACGAAGGTATATATTGATGAAGACATCCTACCCCAACATTTACGTTGTACATTACATACACTTAGTCTATTAGCGACAACAGATTTCCAGAATATATTAAAAAATTCAAATGCCAAAAAGTACTATCATCCAGCATTATTGACCTTATGAAATTTGTCACGAAGATCGAAATCATCAGAAGTTATTAGTAGTATAGTTGTTTTTTAAAATATCCTGTTATTACAAGATGGAATTCATTATATGATTCCATATCAAAATTAATTAAACATAAAGCAAAATTAAACACCTCGACTAAAGAATTAGGTTTAAAGTATCAATTTAACAAAACTGATATAAGTTATTTTATTTGACTGAATTTGTTTTAATAATGAAACTTGTGAAACTAATAAATCGCTTGTGCTCTGGATTATCTAAAAAGTGAATCAAATTTTTACTATGGTCATTTAATTTCTACTTTATTTTCATGAAAAAGTTGATTTGCAATTATTCAAGGAACAAAATAAATAACTAAATAATAGTGCTAATAATATGGACAGTATGATTGACTCATTTTTAATTGATTTATAAAAACTAAAAGTGTATTATCATTTTAATTAATATATCTATGCAACAAAACTAAGATAATACCCTCTCATTTGAATTTATTTTTGACATCTGTATATACCATAAGAATAATATTTTATATTATTTTTAATTCAAGTAAATATTTAATTTTCCAGTTAAAAATTTAAATTTATTAAAAATTATTTTATGACTACAATATTATTATAGTTTTGTATGTATCTACATGTTACACATTATTTTAAATTCTATAAAATACTTATTTTATGATAATATTTAAGAAGGCTTTGTTAGGTTAAAACAATTAGTTATACTTATGTACAAATAAATAAAATTATAAATATTGGGACTATTGGAAAGTATACGGTTTTGCATTATAAGGTACCTATCATAAAGTGTCATTGTAAAAATTCAATAATTTACTTTTATTAAATTTCTATAATTATAATTTTATTTATTTAATTACAATTATTAATTTGTTTATTGAATTATATTGTATTATAATATAAGTAATTTTATGTGCTTAATGCTATTTTTAAAAAAAAAAAATTGAATATATTTTATTGTGTATTTATTTGTAACTTGTAACTTATAATGTAACTGTAACTTGTAATCAGTTACCCAAAATTAAAGTAATTTGTAATTTGTAAACAGTTACACTATGTAATGTAACTTGTCCATCCCTGACTATTCACTACAATAACATCTATATACTATGTGCACAATGTAAATTTGAGTCAAAGCGGCTTTATAGGTGTCATATAGACAACTTGCAAAAGAGTTTGTGCAGAAACTTATGTTTATACTGGTCATTCATCCGAAATCTAAAAGACAGTAACTCTGTCCTAGATTTAATACATTATGGATTTGAAAAGTCATCAGGTACCCAAGTATCCTAGGCGTTTGCTTCTTTTTTCTCCTCAGTTTATAGGAATCCAATAAATATATCCACACCCTTGCTTGATACGTACACACCAAATCAATTTACAGACAAGTTAAGCATCACTTATTATGACCATATCGACTGACCAATATGGTTTTTTCCCAGGCCGCTCCACGGTTACTTGTTCTGTCGATTTTATTACTTTTTTGCATGAAGCGTTTGAATTTAAGCAGCAAGTAGATATAATCTATACAGATTTCTCAAAGGCATTTGATTCAATTGATCATGGGTCATTAATTTATATTCTCGATCGGTTTGCTATTGGTAATCCTCTTCTATCTTGGTTGGGACCATACTTATCAGGGCGTAGGGTTAATATATTACTCCCGCTTCGACGGATATGTTATGTCATCATGAGCAATAATTCTCCCCCCTCCCCGTGCAAAGGTTTATGCGATCGCAATCTTGCAATTCATAATAATATATTCCTAACTACGGGTTAACGGCCAATCAGATCACGTTTCTCCTTATCGCCAAAAACGTCGGCCCGCGGCGACGTGTGCCACGAACGTCTCCGCGTTCCGCTACCTAATTTCTTTTAGTTCGTTCCTTTCCTTCTTCGTGTCTAGACCTCGTCTTGAGACTTTATCTGCAGACGGTCTTTCGATACTGTTCTCTTAATAAAACACTCCCGTGTATTGCATGAATTCACATATTTCGCCGCCAAGAAAAGGTCGTGTACCTTGGCACGTTTCACGATGGTGCTTCAAACGAACCAATGAAGTGAGTCCCGATCTGGTCCGCTGGGCGGAACGAATGGTAATATGCATGTGATTTAATAATTGACCGATACTCCGTTATTTAGTTTTTAAGGTAATTCAGTTAAGGTCCCCCGTATGAACATTTTTTATCAAAAATGTTTTTTTTTCTCATATGCCAAATTCTTCCGATTTACTTACGGGAATCAACCAGCTAGATTTGTGTGTCCGTCTCATTATACTAATCCCCGCGTTCCACATCCTATGTGCGATAGGCCAAACCCTCTCCCCCGCATTTTGTTTTTTTTATTTTCTATTCCCTTAAAGTGTTAGGTTTCGCAATCACGTGTGTGAGCATCTAAAAAAAAGGAATATATATATATATATATATATATATATATATTGATCGAACTTCCCTACTTCGCGATCCATATTCGCACGCACCCCGCAGGTTCACCCGGAGGGCCATCAAAACTACGGACCAGTCAACATGGAATAAGAAGCGTTTCCGCTATCCTTCCCGGTGGTAACTTGTGTGACCTGGCAACCGCACATTTCTGCCGGGGTTTCCCCAATACCTAAGGCCCCCCGCACACGAGGCGATTCACACGCGACGCGATTTTTGCAACGCGCGATATCCTAGCAAAGTGAATGGGGATCCACTAACGACGCAATTT